ACAATATCAATATTAATTTACATGAAAGTAACAAGAAGAGTTTTATTTATTTTTGTTAAGAAGATCTGTCACAAGTATTCCAACCTCCTTGTTCTCAGCTGGGCCGGCCCAAGAAAGGTGGGACCCGAACAGACTGAATTTGTCTCATGTGCTCACCAAGGCCATAGCTAGTGAACATACAGTTAAATCAGGTACAAAAGACGACAAAATAATGCCCCTACAAAACAGCTATGCTTAGTACAATGGAGATGAAATGGAGGTGATGAAATCACAACCTACAAACACAAGCCATTCGTTTTATTCGCTTTAATATTTTGTACCTAAATTTCTTAACCCTTTCTTACACAATCTTAGGCCAACACGCAAATCCCAAACCTTAGCTCCTTTCAAACAATAAGTAGAGAGAAAAAAGAGTTTCCTACTTTTTCTCTATACGAAAACCAAACTCCTCCTCTATGCCTAGCTAACTAGTCTAAGTAGCTCAATTACCACCTTAATGAGAGATTAGTTAGCTGCTCTAAACCCTAGTTAATTACTCTAACATCGTATTTATATTTTTCATCAGTATTGTTGGGTTGTGTCTTAAGTTCAGTTTGGCTGATCATCCTCTTGAATCCATCATCGCTTGATAGTTAGCTATATATTCATATTTGTGTTGTAGATAGCTAGCTAGAAGGATCAATTGATATTAATCACCATGATGATCAATACTCATTGTGGAAGCATGGGGTCTATCAAGAGTGAGAACTCATGCAGCTCCGACCTCAGACCCCCGTCTCCGACCGAATCCACGACGATGTCTATGTCCATATCAGAATCTAAGAAAATCACAATTCCTCCATCCTCCGAGTTGGATCAGCAGAGCACCCTAACCCCGCCTAGCCTCAATTTTCCAACGCTCAAGTTCGAGCTAGACGATGTTGAAGTCCAATCTCCTGACCATTCCATCTGGGAGTCTATGTTCTCCGAGCAATTCGATACCGATTTTATGGTCTTATCGCCCGTCCCAAACAACATGCCGAACTCTGCCCAAATCGGCGGTTCAGCAACTCATCAGAATTACAATTACAATTACGCTCAGTCCATGCAAGGTCAGAGCCTCTCGGGCTCCTCTTCCCCTAGGTTTTCGCCGCACCTCGGAGCATTCAGCAGCACCCATAACCCTAAAGGCAAAGGACTCAGCCCGCTCCGTAGGGTTTTCAACTCTCCTGTTAACCAGTACATGGAGCCGGCCGATCAGAATACGCACTCACTCCCTGTTCCTGTTTCCATCGAAGACTTCTTGGACGATTATCAACGTGACGGATTCATAGCCGCATTCCCAACAACAACATCGTCCAAGATATCAGGAAGCTCGTCACAGTCTTACAATCATCACGATCACTTGCCAGCATCATCGACAGTTCCATCCGCCACGTTGGACTGCGTGCCGATGTATAACTCTTCGAGGTTTAGTAGATCGGCGAGTGAAGCGTCGTTGGTTACGGCTGGTAATTCTCAGCTGACGCAAGAGAGAAGCAGCGGTAGCGGTTATCAGCAGATGAGCGGCGCGCCACTTTCACAACAATTGCAACAAGAACGCATGCAAGAGAAGCAACAACAGCCGCAAAAACAACACCACCACCAACCCCAACAACAACAGAACCTTCATTATAATATGATGGCGCCTGCCATCCCTATGGTTCATGAGCAGGTGAATTTTTATATCTTAATCATTTAAATTTTGTACGTGCATACATCTTACTTAATTGAACGATGTAAACATGAAGACATTATCGGTAAGGGTAATGCTAGGAAGACTAAATTTGAAGATAATTTTAGAAATTAAGTGATATGAAAGTTGATGATTGGTTTATTACTTAAGAATTGATAAACGTGTTCATTCCTATTGGTGACACATTATTTAGTTTGCAAATTTTATCTCCAAATTTAGTCTCCTTAGCATTATCATATGGGTAATCTTAGACTATGCATATTGATCGAAGTATTAGGATAATTTTTTACTATGCATATTGACCAACAGAATATTTTGATTAGGGTCACTAATGTTTTTGTAAATTACATGTACATGTGGAGAGTTGAATTTTTTTTTTTTTTTGAATCATTAGAGAAAGAATTCAACTTTCAATTACTACATCATCATGTGATCCAATATATAATATATGATCTCTCTAGCAACACTCTTATTCAAATTTGAGGTCGATTTCATTTGTTTATTTTTAACAAGATATACTATGACTCAATGAGATATAATGTGTACGAGTCGGTCAACACATTTGATGACACCTATTATTGTTGGAGATCAACCTTTTGATTATGATTTGTTATATTATCACGTGATATTATTAATTTAATTATCTTTTAATACATAAATTTATTTATGAAATGAAAACTTAAAATATAATACTTGAATTAATAATATCACGTGATCGTGTAAAATCACATCTGAAAAATTATATTCCCGTGGAACAAACTTCCTTACTATTGTATTACATATTGATAAGGTCACAAACGGTCACGTCCTGAACTATTCATCTGCAGCTGCTGTCACAATTAAATTCTATGCAGCATTTTTTGCATAACGTGTTCACACAAATATTGTACATGTAGCAACCCTAAATCCTCTCATTAATTAATCATTCCATGCACGTATGAATGTGCAGGAACAAGATAGCGGGCTCCAACTGCTTCACCTCCTTCTTGTTTGCGCCGAGGCGGTTGCAAAAGAAGACTACATGTTAGCAAGAAGGTACCTCCACCACCTGAACCGAGTGGTGACGCCACTCGGCGATTCCATGCAGCGTGTTGCTTCTTGCTTCACAGATGCCCTAAGCGCACGCCTGGCCGCCACTCTAACCACAAACCCTAGGGCTTCCGCCCCGCAACCCTTCTCTCCGTTCCCTCCAAACTCGCTTGAAATTCTCAAAATCTACCAAATCGTCTACCAAGCCTGCCCCTACATCAAATTCGCACACTTCACCGCCAACCAAGCCATCTTCGAGGCGTTCGAGTCTGAAGAACGTGTACACGTCATCGACCTAGATATTCTTCAAGGATATCAGTGGCCGGCTTTCATGCAGGCCTTAGCTGCCCGCCCCGGTGGGGCTCCCTTTCTCCGCATAACAGGGGTGGGCCCCTGCATAGAGGCTGTGAAAGAGACGGGCCGGTGTTTGACAGAACTAGCCCTATCTCTTCACGTCCCGTTTGAGTTCCATGCAGTTGGGGAGCAACTTGAAGATCTCAAGCCACACATGTTCAACCGGAGGATTGGCGAAGCGCTGGCTGTAAACACGGTGAACCGACTCCACCGAGTTCCGGTCAATTGCCTCGGGAACTTGCTAGCTATGATCCGTGACCAAGCACCCAACATTGTGACATTGGTGGAACAAGAAGCGAGTCATAACGGGCCCTACTTTTTGGGCAGGTTTCTCGAGGCTTTACATTACTACTCGGCGATTTTCGACTCGTTGGATGCGACCTTTCCGCCGGACTCGGCGCAGAGGGCGAAGGTGGAGCAGTACATATTTGCGCCGGAGATCCGGAACATCGTGGCGTGTGAAGGGGCGGAGCGGACGGAGAGGCATGAGAGGTTGGACAAGTGGAGGAAGGTGATGGAGAGTAAAGGGTTTAAGAGCGTGGCGCTGAGTGCGAACGCGGTGACTCAGTCCAAGATATTGCTAGGGTTGTATTCTTGCGACGGGTATAGGATGACGGAGGACAACGGTTGCTTGCTCTTGGGGTGGCAAGACAGGTCTATTATGGCTGCTTCTGCATGGAGATGCTGATTTTTTTGCTTCTACGTACACGTACGTGCCTGCTAATTTGTTTTTTCTTTCTAAATTGGATCAGATTTTCATTTTTGTAGATAATATTATTTGTCTAATTAAGAAAATCCATGCAAAAAATCCAAAGAAGAAGAAGGTTAGAGAAAACAACGAAAAGGGTTGAATTTGTTTGCTCGGTAGAGAATATTGATCTTAAGAATATAAAGTCAATATTGATTGATCCCTTGATTCCATTAACTTACTTAAGTATACAAATATTATTCTTTCTGTTGATTAATAAGGAGAAATATTAAATAATTGTTTAATTAATTATTTTTCCTGCTCAATACAGGGTCGCTCCAGCATTGTGTCGTACCCACTGGACTCTGAGATCTGATAACAATTGGTGGTGGTGAGGTGCGTTCAGGAAGGGATTTTATTATTCATTTCGTTTCTTCTCTCTCTGTTTAAAGGAAAAAAAAAAGTGAGTGGTGATATTTAATTTGTTACTAATATATAATTAATTTGATGGCAAAATAGCTTGGCAGATAATCCACTACATCTGTCACAGTCAAACAGAATGCAAACTTTAAAATTGGAAGCAAAGTAGTGTATTTTTCCCTTAACTGTTATTTTATTTTCTCCATTGTACACTGTTTACCTGTATAAAATTTGGAGTTAAAATAATTTTGAGCATTAAGGCTACAAGCCTACAAATAGGTTTTTACTCATATTATTAGGGTGGCCAAGCTTTATTTTAGTTCTCTCCAAGCTTTCGTTAACCCTACATTCACATATTTAGTGCAGATACATATTTGACTGTTAAATTTGATCCAACATAATTAATTAAGTGGTTAAAAATTGTTGGATTAAATTCAATAATCAAATATACGTCAACACTAAATGCTTGTAGGTACTAAAAAAAGATTATTAAGTATTGGTCAAGTTTCAGGGCATGCCTCAATAGTATGCAATGCAGTATTTGCCCAAACGACCAATAATTGGAAAAAAATTTCAGTATGCCGAAGCCATGGCTTGATACACCAAGTGCAATAATACAATTGGTTACAAATTGTTTTTTTCAAATTTCCAACCAATAATGAAGCATAAAAAATCAAATTTACTCAGCCTTTTTTGACTTCTGACTCGCATTCAATGAAGCAAAGAAGCGAAGGTAAAATCGCTCAGGTTTACAACATTCTCAGAACAAATTACAGAGGAATCATTCCCAGAACGTTTGACAATAATTATGTTTAGTCATTCATATGATCAAAGCAATTCAACACCACAGCGATCCGATGGACCAACAAGTATCGCATCATATTGCCACAACATTGTACTCTTTCAACAGGAATTGAAGTATAAACGAAGAGACCATCCGATTCACATAAGCATCGTAATGATTTCGTAAATATAGATACTAGAGCTATAAAAATACACCAAGCACGCACCCATTTTATAAAACGCCAAGTACTTCACTAATATGCACTGTTACACAGGAATTCCATCCAACAATCGCGTGACGATGGGGGATTGGACTGTGGTACAAATTATTTTCTCTCCAGCTACTCTTAAACATGTTCCAGCAGACCTCAGCAACCCCAAGGCAACCTCACGGTCTTCACCGTGCTTGCCACCACGACTCACTCTCTTACAATATCGAACATGAACACATGCTTTTCCTTGGGACCTCATCAACCTTCTTCTCTGTTCATGAAAACAGAGAAAATAACATTCAGCAAGTGAAGCTGATATCAACAAATATGTAACGTGCATCACATGTTGCGCGGGAGTCAACCCTTAACACATAATTGATCTCAGCTGAAATGAACTAGAAATCTAGCACCATCATAATATATCAAAGAAAATGGAATCATAAGTTTTCTGCAGGATGCTGAGCGAGGACAATCCTCTAAGGTGCCCATGATCGCCCAAAAAGAGAATTAGCAATGAGACTAGTTGATAAAACCCGTGCTTTGGTAGTGCCAAGGAAAACAAAAGTACACTTCAAGTTTGTCGCATTAAACAAGATAAAGGGAAGTAGGAAGAGCCGCTAACCAGTAACAGACCAGCCATGAAGAGGGGAAAAAAATATTGGCTGCTAGCCTAGGTCGTAATAGTAAGAAATCTGACGAAACAGGCATAAACATGTATGCAAATTACCAATTTCACATCGAAAGAGATATCACACTAAACAATCTAAGATGAAAAATACCTGTTTTTGCTTTCGCTATAGAGGGCTGAACAACAACATGCATGGTGATAATCCCGCTTGGAAGCTCTCCAAATGGTGCTCTACACTGGGCAACAGTCTTGTTGTTTTCCAAAATCTTCCCAGCATTTATCAATTTTATGTCGTTTGCTCCTTTGGGTGCAATCTTTTTATCTGATATCATAGCATTTAAAAAATGTTAAGGATAAAAATGATGAGCAGATTAAAGTTAAGAAGCACAAGAAAATGATAAAAAGAAGAAAAAAAGGGACGTTCGTATTGTAACGAAAATTCCTACTCCTGCTCAATATAGTTCACCATCTAAAAGCCATAACGTAGCAGAACTGGTAACATTAACATCAGAGAGAGAAACTTGTTAGCAAATCTCAGATATGCTAAAGAAAGAAAGCGGCATATTATAGGATTAAACAGATCCTTATCACAAATCGTCAAAATAAGCACACACAAAAACATTGCCTTCATAAGCATGAAGATCAAGACAAGTTACACAGTCGTGATCTAATCACTTATGCGGACAAAGTCTGTTGGACTAATGATTCAGCCCAACAGAGATGTCATGAAGAATAATCCTATAAAAATGGTTTTCACAGGCACCATTATCTGGGTCCACCGATTGGAAGTGGGTTTAACTGATAAAAATGCTCCTGTTTCAAAAATAATTCAAGCAGATCCTTCCATTCATATCTTCTTCTTCAGAAAAAATATAAACACAAACCTACTTGTCTAAAAGAAACTTCTTTGGTCCATGTGAAACAAATCATTAGCTTTCCAACTTTCATTCATATCTTCTACTGCACTTTTAAATTCTCGCTTCCCACATGCTTCAAACAGAAAGCAAGCGGTAGTGTGGCAATATAAATTGAAAGTTTGAAAGTTTTTCCAAGTTCAATGTGAAAACTATATTTAAATAAAGTCTGGATACAGAACGGCACAAGTACAAAACACCTGAAACAAAGAAGTTACCAGAAACAACAGAAATATTTTTGTTCAAAGTAGATATAATAAAATTTTATCTCAACATCCGAATGTGCTTCGATTCATAATTTGATTACTTGGAATCAGGGAACCCAATTGAAACTGAAACAGATCAACTCCGAAACATCGCACATTTCAAGAGTGTTAACAGAACTCAAACCCTTCTGTAGGATTTAAACTTAACAAAAACTACGAAACGTCAGCAAAATCAGCACTTGAAAAGAGTAGGTCTTCACCAACAGAATGCATCAACTAGAATTATCCAAATGAAAATTTTGTATTCCATCATCAACAAACAACGAAAATTGGATAAACATTAAACCCATGAAAGTGGCATCCACTACTAAAAGTAAAAACTTGCAAACAATCATCAAATGCGAAGTGGAGGTCACTGACCCTTTGGCCACTCGGCCACGATTCTCTCCTTGAGCATTGCCACCGTGGACGCCGGCGAGTACCGGAACGGGCCGATATCCGATCCATCATACAGACGGAACTTGAGCTCCACCAGGTCCTCCTCCGGCATTTGAAAAAAGCTCAAAACTTTCCACACCAACTCAACCACGCAACCCCAAAACGCTTCCACTCCAATACTCTGTTTAGACCACCAAAAAAACACCCAATTTAATCACAATTTTGATAATCCCCCAATAATTAGCTCGTTTTATCACTGCATTAGTGCTGGACAATTCTTCATTTTTCACGAAACAAAAACAGATAAAATCGCCAAATAATCCGTAATTATCGGAGTAATCAGGAAACGTACCGAAAGGAAGACGCGGATTGGGCGAAAGGGAGAGCTTTGTTGCTTTTCCTCTGCGTGTCTGATTAGGGTTTTTGGCGAGAAGAAAACTTCAAGACTCGATCTTGCCTCTTTGGGATATTTTCTCGAGCAGAAGTAGAAGAAAAATAATTCAATTTTATTTTATTCGGAAGCAATTGCTTTCGATTTTCTAATTTTCTCGGGACGAAGAGAGAAAATTAAATAAAAAATGGAAAAGAAATTAGTGAGATTTGGATTTTGAATGCTGTCAGTCAGTAAATGGTATCTAGGTTTTTTTTGTCAGTAAAAAAGTAGACCATGTAAGAACAAGAGAATCTGGATCCTCTGGTTCGGGAACACATGCAGCTGGAAATTCTATCAAATGACAAGGTTTGTGTGCAGATTTTATATGAGGTGGCGCGAAGTGATTGGCGATGTAGAGTAAGGTGGCGGGAGTTGGGAGTAGGAAGGGTCGCCTCTCTTTCCGTGTCCGTTCACATTGACCAGAGTTTTTTTTTAACAAACGTACATTTCCCAGAAGTTAGTGGGGAGACTTTGACGCGTGGGTGAGATACGGATGCCGTCATAAATGCTTTGTAAACTCAGCTAGATTTTTTTTTCTTTAATTAAAGAAAATCTGATATATTAGATATTTAGTGATAATTCAACACCCACATTTTACCTGCGCATCGGTCAACTTCACCATTTCATGCTAACACACTTCATCATTTGCTAGTATGAGTGCAATTCACCTTGATTTGATTTAATATTAAAAATATAACTAAATTAACAGTTTAATTTACCCTGATGAAAAAATTTGGAACATCGCAGTTATATGTGTTAGAATATATCTGCAGACAGGTAGTGGTACGAACCATAAGATTGTCGCACAAGAAAAATACCCTTCATTATACTATCCTTGATTAGGAGGAGTTTCTCTTTTACAATTAAGGCATAATCATAGTAGCATAAGCCCTTCAAAGAATGCTTGACAAGTACTCAAAATATACACCATCAATCCAATAAATATTTGCTACAAGGGAGAGTTTCTCTCCTTGTAGTAGTGAATTAATTTTAGTCTAAAAAGCCCTGCTGCAGTTTTTGGGCTTTGGGCCTCCCATGCTTGAATGAGTGAGAGTGGACTTGGTCGAGAGATTCCATCGACCAAAAGTTAAATGGTAGATAGATGTGAAGGTTGCTAATTCCTACAAGAAGGGTTGATTATTACACTAATCCAAGAAAGATGATGCTCCATTTGGGTCAGATTTTCAAGAGTGCCAGAATATAATTCGGTATATTAAATGTAATAGTACAATTACTTGCAAATTTAAAAATAAATATTTTCAACCAATGCATGAGCATATAAGGCAATTTTCAATCGAATAAGGAGTCAGATGACTCGTTTTAATGCTATAGCTCTTCAACAAATTAATATTTTAATGAACAGTGTCATACTATATTTTTTACCATCTCCAACCGAGAACCAGAGAGTCATAGGCCAAACATAATCATGTAACAAAAAACTATCTCCAATCGAAAGGACCACATGACCATAAGACCAAATATAATTTATTATTTTAATCTATGAAGATCCTTCACGTCAATGGTGGGTCCGAAGTCCTAAAACGAGTCTATTGGTATCAAAGTTTACCATCCGTATTGCCAAACGCGTCCCTCCAATAATCCCGTTTCTTCCCTGTCAACCCTCGAATTTGCAAATTCCAAATAAACACAAAAATAAAATAAAAACAAACTAATCACGCACACAGAGAAAAACAGAAAATTACAATATTTTTATATACCAATAATCTAAACAAAAATGCTTACATACAAAATACACAAAAAATTACAATATTTTTATATACCAATAATCTACAACCTCAATTTTCACTTTCCTTTTCCTTTTTTCCTACTAAAAATCTGAAAAGTAGAGATTAAGAAAATTAATGAGAAAAAGAAAAAAAAAAGAAAAAAAAAAAAAAAAGAGTGAAATTTCCAAAGGGCTCTCGGGCCACGAATAATGCGGTTCTTGTTGTTGTCCCTTGCAGCGTTTCCAGCGAGCTCCAACACCTAAACAAAATTTCACAAGAAAAAATCAGATCAAACCCATAAAAGTTCGAGATATACAATGCCAATAAACATGAAAATCTTAACCAATCAAACTCCAGGGAATCAACACCCACCAATAACGAACAAATGTTGAATTTCAAAAACTAATAACACATTACTAAACCGATTTGTATCCAGAAATCGAATTAAACCCAGAAAATTATACTCATAATTAGATCGACCCAAAACTAAAAACAATAGAACCCACATAGATAAAAAAACAAACTAACCTCAACGGCGAGGTATTCTAGCACAGCGACAACAGCACTTACGCCGCATAATCCGTCGCCCGGTCCAAGATCTTCATAATCGTCTTCCCCAGCAACGGCACAGTCAGCTCGTGCGCCGGGCGATACGGCCTTGTTTCAGGTCTCTTTCACAAGACACAGAGGTTTTGCGATACTCGTTGGGGAGATGGACACTGTACGGAACGTGTTTGGGAGATGGAGGAAGTCAGCCCGGGGCTAGCTGGCTAGCTCCTTTGGGACTAGGCAATTGGTTTGATTCATCTTTTTTGGTCCCGGTGGGACCTACCAGCTCTGTGGCATAGTCTTTAGTTGTAGATGATTTTCAGTGTCATTTTAAGTTATTTTAACCTTTGACCGAATCGGTTGGAGATCGCTTAACTTCATTCTAATACATTGCTCCAAATTTAATCACATACGGTTGGATGTAGTCTAATTTCGAATAGAATGTATTTCGGGAGCTTCCATTCTCTTCCACGCTTTTGTAATAAATATTGTATTGTTATTTGGTCTAATAATTGGAGGACTCGAATCAAAATGATTCTTAGATTTGTTTTACAGAAATACGTCGGTCATGCAAAAAAAATTTAAGTGTACAAAAATATTTTCCACGTAATAACATTTCTCGATATAATATGTGCACCACAATTTTGATATGTACCGCTTCAACTAATAAAAAAAACAAAAACACATTGAAATTAAGTATATCACAAAACCGTGTGTCGATATTTTGGTACATTGAAACCTTTTTACCAAACGTGTCAACTTTATAAATCTATATGGCATCACCCTTCCTTGTAAGAAACCGGAGCGTTTCGTGATTTAAAAATGCCGATTCACGTCTAAATCATCACCTGTCCATCTTTTTGTCATAATTTATCAATTTCGTCACTCACAAATACTGTAATAGCAATAGGAAGATGCGCCACGTGACTATAGCAAAGGTCACGCGCTAAAACTTTCTCCAGTCACACCACTGCGCACCTTCTAAACGAGGAGGTGAATTGTCTGTTCTTCAATTTTCATATTTTTCTTATACTCTTTTATGATATGTGATTACGGTTAAATTATGTTAACATTTCATATTAATTTTTATAAAAATAATAAAATTAAAAATAATATGAATATAAAATATTTACGTTATTTAATCGTAACCATACAAACAAAAAAGCATAAAAAAAACATGAAAATAGGATGGCAGACAACCACCTTCTCTAAACTAAACCTAAATCATCATTTGAAGTCCTGTCCTCCTGCGTGGTGGAATTTGACTTTGTTGTCGTACGACGTGGCTACGAGGGTTACGATGTTGTTGCGGGACCCATTGGTCCCATTCCACGTAACGGAAAAGACTTGAGCCTACCATCCATCATGATCACCGTGGAAAAGTTTACCGATGCAATGAGTTGGCCAGTCAAAGCTTGATCATGGACCGTCAACGTCTGGTGGCTGCCACAGTGGAGTTGGGTATCAATCACAGCAAAAATAACGGAGTCGACTAAACTGGCAAATTGTGCGGCGCAAGCCTGAGAAATATGTGGATGCAAATTCTCCAAATGTGGAAGAATGATGATGAAACGATTACGTGCTTCGTCATAACATGAGTGATACGGTTTGGTTTTTATTAATGATAAATTATATGAGGTGCGTTTACAATGTATAATTACCGTTTTTAAGTACGTGAGAATATTAATAAGGTTGTTCATTGCAATATCGTATTTTAGAATTTTGAATTACACGATAACATATAAGAAAAAAGTCAGCGACGCATTGACACCACTACTTTATGCTTAAAACCGACGCCGTTACTTTAGGTCTTAGATTTAAAATACAATTTCTAAAAGCTAGCCTTTTATTGCCACTTATCACTACAGTTTGGTGGTATTCCTTTTCATTTGGAAGTAAGAGGTCCTATGTTTGAATATCGTGAATGGCACATTTGATACCAAATTAGGCTGCCCATTGTGTGACTTTACCGAACTCTCATTCCCTTAGTGTAAAAATATCGATGTTGTCTAAAAAAAAAAAAAAAAAAGCTAGCCTTTTGTTTGCAAAAGGACATATTGTTGGCCCTTCTCTTCTTCCTAAGCTTAATATTCTTTGAAAATTTACATATACGGCAAATTAAAGACATGGAACGCAGCCTAAAAATGTAACAATATAATGCAAATAAATCAATGAAACAAGAGACAGAGACAAAGGCAAGGTTGTGGAGATTAAAGTAAAAAAATTTAACTCTCTTTTTTTTCTTCCCATTTTTTTGTATACAGAGGAGGGAGCAATTACACATCTCTGAAGGCCCACAGTAAAAGCCCGAAGACAGTCCAACACACTCGAGAAAAGAAAAAGCAAAACCCAGATGAACAATTAACTATCTAATTAAGTGACATTAGTGATTAATTAGTGTCCAAAACGGAGGTGGACTCACAAAAGCCACTCCTCTTCCTCTGCCTGCCTGCCCTTATGTAATTAATTAAGTAGCAGTACAAATCATGATTTTGTTTTCCCTTCTTTCTTACAACAAAAACAATTTCAAGACAGAAGAGAACGAACAATCTCAGAGCCAGAGAGCTCCGGCCTCTTTGAGAAGAGGAACAAGAGTGCCGTTGATATGAGAGGCCATGACTCTGTCCATTGCGCCGATGAGTTTTCCACCGATGAAGACGACGGGGACGGCGGAGGAGGTCCCAAGCAGCCTCATCAACGCCCTCTCCAAGTCCTTACCTCTGGGGTCCTCGTCCAGCTCGTACACAGTAGGGTTGACGCCCATGCCGCAGAAGAGGCGCTTGATGGCGTGGCACATGCAGCAGCTGCTTATACTGAATATCACCACCGCGCTCTCCGACGCCATCCGCTCTATGCGCTCCAGAGGGTCCTCCATGCCCATGGAGGTTCCTGTAGGCATGTAGGAGCCCCATGACTCGGCCTGGTAGTGCATTGTGCTAGCTTAAATTGTTGAGGAGGTTAGGGTTTGGGTTGAAGTGAAGTGAAGGAATGTATAGATATCAGACTAGAAAAGCCGCTTTTTGGCTAAGTACTTGGGAGTTCAGAGGAGTAGTAATATGAGTAAGTGAGGTTTTGGTGAGGAATGGAGGAGAAGAGGGTCTGTATTTATAGGCCTATCGGTTCAACTTTGAAGGGGTTTTTTTTTTTTTTTTTTTAGGAAGTTTTAAAGAAACACTCTCGGTACTGTTTACTTTAACGTAAAATGACAATTTTACCCTTAAAAGTTACTTCTAATACTATTTACTTGCAACATATTTTTGTCATTAAACATATTTCAAGCTCTTTTTATTATTATTATTTTTTTTTTTAACCTTCCGTTATATTTATTTATTTAATGGGTATTCTTGGAATAAGGATAAAAATAGTGGGTTTAAATCTAATATTGTAGTCGTCAGCGCATGCAAGTTTTCTTTAATTCCTCTTCATGCAATAATATTTATAAAAAAAAAAAAAAAATCAGATTTTCTTATATTACTTTGAATAAATTTTAAAATTAATGGAGAATAATAATACAAACAGGAGAGCTTATAATATAGAGAGGAAAGGAGACATGAAGGTCAGGCTTTTTCAGAAGAGAGTTGGGCAATAGACGGCTGCGTCCGTCCTTGTTGTCGGCCCCTACGCCATCCGATTAATTATCAAATTTATAAAATTAAAAAAAGCAAGAACGTGCCGATCACAAACCTTTGTTCCTTCTCTTGAAGAAAACCCTTGCATGAGCATTTTACTTTAACTAAATCCCTAAAAAACCTCTAATTAAAATTTACCCTCGGAATGCTATTCTAATTAAGAAAACAAAATGCTATTGATACCGTTGGAAAATTATAATTTTGGATTAGATCGAATTTTGTAGACCCCGGCAGAGCTAATTTATTATATATACGTACATATGGGCTGCTTAATTAGGTTTAGATGAATATTCTCAAGCTCCATGATGTATTATTTTATTTGAACAAGTGATATTATTTATACTAAAATGAAAATGAGTGGGTTTAACCTCACAATGAGCTATTAATAATGTGATTCAAGTTTACTTTTGGTAAGAATCAAATCTAACAATAACGTGGCGGTTCAAGCTCCATGATGTATTATTTTATATAATGGAATTGTACGCTTTTTAAATTCTGTGTTATCGAAAACAAATTCTTCCATATATACAAAATCTGGTATATATATTATCTTGTTCTTCTATATTGCATGTGGGGGGATGGGGATTCATATTCATTACTAGTTATTTTATACTATATTATACGTTTTATCCTTTGAGTTCATCTTTTTCACTTAATACTAATAGATATGTGCCTATTAATCATTCTCTAGAATATAATCTTATTAATTTGCAAACTTAATAAGTTTAGTTAAGTTGGCTACAACAATATACTATTCTTCTTAACAAAATTAGATTCTTTCTCTATATCATTTAGATGAATTTAGCGTAGATTATCACATGTATCAAACTCTTATCTTATTTTACATATCTCCTATGGGAAACATCAAGTTGAAATCTACGTTAATTCGAAAAAGGGATACTAGGATAAAGTTATAGCGTAGTGCTATTCAAATGCACATTATTTTTACCTCACATACACTATTGTTAATTTTTGTTTATTAATTTACTTCAATTGATTCGATCTGACAAAATGAGAGGGATAAACCAAATTAAGTGGCTTATTAATTAACGAGTATGGTACTACTATACTAAATTACTAATAATGTTTGGTTAGCTTTATTGGCTTTGAATTATTTGTAATGAATAAATGTAGCAATAGGTGGGGGAACATGCATGCTTGGCTCCATGGCTCACAGCGCGCATGCTTAGACATGTATGCAGCATGTCCAATGTGTGGCAGTAGCTTTTTCATTATTTAGGGTTTCATATATATAACATTTCCTGAATCTCGCTGATCAATTTCCAGTACTAGTACTTCTAATTAATATTACTTATAAAGGATAGAGCCAAACCAAGCCAAACAAAACCCAGAGAGTGAGAGTCCGTACAGGCTTAACAGAAAAAAGTAGGGTTTTCTGCTTTTGATTTTTTGGGGTCATTAGCTCTCGGCAGAGTGAAGAGTGAAGAGGTGATGCAGTGCAGTGCACAGGCACAGAGGCAAGCAATTAAGGGTATGTCTTGGGCGCGAAGGATATGCATGGCCTAATAAAAGTCCCAGCTGGAGCTGGAGCTGGGCGAAGAAAAAGAAATTGATATTATTCGATTCTGCATCGTCACTTGTCTGCCTCTTATTTAATTTTCTACCCCCTTCCCTTTTCTGTCTTCACGCATACGCCATACCTACGTATATCTGTAAATATTGTTTACATGCATCATGTATACACCCACGTATATATACATGCAGCCCGTGAATATGCTTTTTGACGAACTGTACGTAGAGATTCATGGTTTTTTTATGAGTGTAAGACAACTTTATACTCAGTGCGTAGAATAAGTTGCAGATGGCCCCAGGGATGAGGTTCAGATCCTGGACTTCCTTTATTTTATGAAAGAGCCTGGACTGTAAACACTTCGATATATATATATATATATATATATATATATATATATTTGTATATGTACACACACAAACACATATAGGCTTCTGCACTAGACCTTTTTTTTCTGTCAAGGGCTTAAGGATTGAGACACAACAGGCATGCATGTCCCAGGAATCCAACAGGCATGCATGTCCCAGGAATCCACTCAACGTACGTACTATCTATGACTATATGGTCAAAACTCAAAGGAATCCAACGGTTCAAAGTTTAAACTTTCAACAAACAAATCAAGGGACTCATACCATAAAAAATTCTCCAATGCTCCAGTATACGTGTGTAGTAGGCATTGTATGAATAGATTGTTAATGTGTTGTAAATGGCCAATATATATAGCTTACTGCTGATAAACTAACATCAAAAGATTTGTATTGTGTACTATATACTGGTGGATATTAAAAACATACTTCATATTATAAAAAATTGTGGCCGTGGGATGGTAATGTACAATTCATCAAACGGTCGGGAGAGATTTTTCAGTGTGACCAGTACACGAGATGATACGTGTCATTAAACAAATTGTGATATATATATATATATGCTAAAAAGTTAATAACTTAAAAAATAAAATTTCTCATTATTTCTATTAAAACACGTGATTTACTACTTGTGTTTCCGTCACAACTAAAAATTTCTCGACGGCCGGGAGTGGACGGTGGAAGAGTAAACTTCGATTCTCGGGAATCTAATCTTTTTTAAGTGGGAAAGGGAGAAAACCAATAAAGAATATTAGATTCAATCGTACAAAAGTTGTATTCGGTCTAATTTTTTTTGGTAAATACAAAAGTTGTATCGTTGTGTGGCATTTGGCAGGGATGAATTTAAAGGTCGCGTGATGAAATCCTCAGCTTTTTGGGATTTTGTCGCAGTGTTTATCTTCTTCTCTGTTATCAGCTAGCAGCTGATTCATTATTCAGACTAGCAATATATGATCAGTTTACCATTTAGAGAGGAACATGCAGAGAAAAAACAAGGCCGGAGTGCCCAGAAATATCCCAAATGAGGAATGAGCATTTATAACAAAAAAAATTAGGTTCCAAAGGAATAAGCCTCACTTTTATTAAAATGTGAGAGTAGGTAAAGTGATCAATAATATGGTACAAATAATTTTATTCGAACTTGTTGGTGCTATTGTAATCCGCTCAAAATGTAATATATTTGTGTATCACATAGTAGTGTATGAACACACTGAATTCGGCTTCATATAAACAAGTTCAGGGTTTCGCTTTAAACTTAAAAAGAAACACCAGTAAAGTTCACGCTTGTTTTAAATTAGTAAAACGTAAACACAGTTAATTATGAAGTTAATATCTTTATGGAAAGCATTTTATGGGTCCCGAGCAGCACGAAGAAGAAACTTTATGGAATATTAGGTCAGCATGCAACTGTTTGACCAAATATTTTATTTTGGGGTAACGCATTTGTAGATAAAATTTACAAATTAAATGATGTGTCATCAATAGAATGAATACGTTTATCAACGCTTAAGTAATGATCAAATCATCAACTTTCATATCATTTAGTTTACAAATTTAGTCTTATTAACATTACCGTTTTCTTTGTTTGGCCAGCACCTCCCCTCTCTTTCATGACGGACGAGTTTAACGTCACGTAGCTGCATGATATAATATTGTTTAAACTTCTCTCTATTTAACAACGCTAATTCATAACACTTAAGAGAAATAAATGGCTTGTATGAAAGTGTTTATAAAATTACTGAAATCACTTTTGGAATCAATTATTAATAAAAATGTAAATGATTCTAGAAAAATATTTGAAGTGCTTTCTTGTAACATCTCACATCGTCCAAGGGAGTGGATCCTCTAAGCCTTATATGTATATTCTCATCTCTACCTAGCACGAGGCTTTTTGGAAACTCACTGGCTTTGGGTTCCATCGGAACTTCGAAGTTAAGCGAGTTCGGGCGACAGCAGTCCCAAGATGGATGACCCACTGAGAAGTTCCCGTGTGAGTTCCTAGAAACAAAGCCATGAGGGTGTGGTCGGGGTCCAAAACGAACAATATCATGCTACGGTGGAGTCGAGCCCAATATGTGGTGGGACTGGGGCGAGATGTGACAATTTGGTATCAGAGCCAATCCTTGGCCGGAAGTGTGCCTACGAGGACGTCGGGCCCCTAAGGGTGGTGGATTGTAACATCTCACATCGCCCAGGGGAGTGGATCCTCTAAGCCTTATATGTATATTCCCATCTCTACCTAGCATGAGGCATTTTGGGAGCTCACTGGCTTCGGGTTCCATCGGAACTCCGAAGTTAAGCGAGTTCGGGCGAGAGCATTCACAGGATGGGTGACTCACTGGGAAGTTCCTGTGTGAGTTCCCAGAACACAAAAGCGTGAGGGCGTGGTCGGGGCCCAAAGCTGACAATATAGTGCTACGGTAGAGTTGAGTCAGGGATGTGATGGGGGTCCGGGCAAGGATGTGATATTTCTACAAAAGATACCATTTTATACTTCTTATTGAAAATACTTCACGTAATTTTAAAACTCAAAAATAATTTGAACAAAAACACTTTAATTTATTTTAAAAGCATTTCAAACGAGGCGGAATACACGCATATGCCTAAGTTGTCCTCCTTTATACTTCCATGATCTGAATGGTGATGATGATGATGATGTAGTTTTGTTGAGCACAGTCTGACGCAACTGTCGTTTTTGAAAATTTAAAATAAGAGGCAATGCTGGTTAGGAGTAGGATTATCTTCACCTTTTTTTTTTCCTCTTCTTTCATCATCTCTTATTTGAATGGTCACAGTTAAATAATATTAATATTGTATATTAATTTTTTATAGCAATAGAAAGATAAAATAAAAGAATCTGAGAAGAAAAGATGGAAGAAGATGAAATAAAGGAGGAGAGAGAATCATAATTGGTTATTACTTTAGAGGATGGTGAATAGTATAAATAATTGGCCATAGCTCCTTGAGCCGTTAAAGCGAAACGACATGACGGCTTTTCTCAGCCTTTGTTCCTCAACTTTGCTAACCGGATGACGTTAGCCCACCGTTGACTGCTTTTCCTTTCTTTCTTTCCTAACTTCTACTGCCCTTGTAGCCTCCTGTTTGTCGCTTTCGCTTTCGACAACCATGCATGCTTTAATCTTGCTATCTTAGGTTATTATTAACTAATAAATCAATTAAATTTATATTTAATATTATTAATTACTAAGTTTGGTGTTTGACAAAAAAAATAATAAATAAATAAATAAAAACTAAGTTTGGTACTTACAAATATATTTTTTATTAATTAAATATGACTTATGGTCATGGACACTAGTTATGTTATGTTTAGGCGGCTTCAAATATCAAGGCCGTTTTCTTGTTCTTTTTAGGAATTTGAGCTTTGTATAATCTCTGTTTGTTTGTTTATTTATTAGTGTGTGTGAACAAACATATATTTACAAAACTAGTGGTAGAGAGAAAAAATGTTATAATATTGAGAGATGTTAGTAATCTTTTTATTTACACTTTGCTATTTAATTTTTTATATACCTTTTTTTTTTTGTTGAAATTTTTTTATATACATTTTGAATAATGTATTTTTAGACCATTCTTGAAAGAATTATTAAATTAAAAAATATTTAGTCATCTAACGATCATCAAATAAACAGATAAATTATATTTTTCAATTAAATACTTAGTTGCTTAGACAAATTTTTTGATTTAGTTCATTTTACAGAGTTAACTTTTAAATAATTACTTATAATTTCGATCATCATATAACGTTTGAAATGGTAAAACAAAACATCACCTTTAATATTTGCAATTGGAATTTAACGTCCTATGTCGGTGCTTTTGTCTCACCATGTGGTTCCAACAGTAGTAGGGCAAGTAATCAAACTCAGCGAACGTCATGCCACACGGCAATTTGTGGTTTCATCTCTTCTGTCTTGGTCCCTGATTGGCTCCCTCCATTTGCTTAATACTCACGCTAATAGAGAACATGTTGAGAATAAATTTCACATCCAAAAAAATAAAAGATCCTTGCATATATTTATAAGTAATTAAATAATTTTTCACACTGTCAATTGATTTTTCGATAGAATTCCAACTTTCTTCTCTCTCTGTTTACACTTTACACTTACCGTTAGGTGGTTTTTCAAGATTTGCCGGCAACATTAAGAAATTGTTTGTCGTTTGTTTGTGTCTTTGCTCTTGACCATATAATGTATGCTGCCTGTGGGGACTAGGGAATGGGGGAAAGGGGAGAGGGTTGAGTCAGATTCCTTTATTTAGTACGGAACTTTAAGAGACAAAGTTGGGCACCATGTTATGTTATATATGTTATGACAAAATTATACTGTGCTTCCGGGCCAGGGGAAGGGGAAGACAGTTACTGTCCATTCTAAATAATAACTCTTTTAATGCAACTATACTCTACAATCTCAAAAAGAAAGGAAAAAAGTGACTAATGTCATGCTGAAGTCTGCCAGGCGTCAGATTGATTGAACATCTAGGGCCCGAAGTGTTTGGGATAAGTTGGGGAGTATAGGGCCCACTGATTGCCAGGGCAACTTGGTACAGTCGGAGGTTTTGTTTTTTGGGGTTATGTGCAACTCTTGCTCCTTGCCATGGCGATTTTGGTATGGGTGGAGTTTCTCTAATGTCTTGGTTCTTATATCAATCCCATCTAGAAAACAAGTTTTATGCGTTTTTTCTGGTAGTTTGATACAGTATTTTTGTAGCACTGATCAAGAGACGATTTTTATGCAATGATAATGTTATGTGAGAACTTAAAACACTTATTAGTGCGTGATTTTGAAATTACTGGAGGTTTCGGCCAAACATGAAGCTAGGATATGATATGTGTTGTGGTGCTGGGCATGTTAATGTATAAGTAAAAGAAAGAGACAGTCGTAGACAATGGTCTGAGTCCATTTCCACTACTCGCTTCTTTTTCACCATATTTTAAGCCACTGACAAACTAGAGAGAAAGAGAGAGAGAGAGAGAGAGCAACGACGTCCAATTAGCAAACGTGCATGATGCATGCATATGGTCTCCGTTTTGTATTGTAAGAGACACGAGGCACGTACATATAAACGTGATTCTTTCATCGCCACCGTCCTTGATTATTTGTATTACGTCATGTTCGTGAATCGTAATTGTATATACGAGAAATTGAGCTTGAAAAAGAAAGACAGCAGGATGTGCGAAAGAAAATTAAGGAGATCGTGATTTTAATAGGCGGAGCCATGAATGTTCGTATATTAATCTTGATATTTTATCATGCATAAAAGTTTAGGGATGTGCTTATGATTGTCAATGTATCTTTAGGTTTAAGATTCCAATCCAATATTTTCACATTAATTTCTTTCATCGAATTTGATTTGATGTTTTTTGCTCCTACGGAGTTCAGACAATTGGTTACTTGTGAGCTTTGAGGAAGAATTTAGTTTGGGGATCATGGGAGGGAGAAAGGAAGAAAGTCAGAGAGGCATGAGGATTAGATTATGGAAGATGATAATTAGGACGGCACCATACTAGACCAAACGATGTTGGTAGGTTGCTCACCACACGGTATAGTAACTTTTGAAATACCAGGACAACGTTTTAGATTGAGATATTTGGGCTCCTCCTCAACTAAAAGTATTTTCATCGCTTTGAGTTGTTGGAATATGAGGCTTTTAGTAAGAAAGAATATTTGGGTCTCTACCCTAATAAGTAATAATTCGGGGGCTTAATGCTTTAGCTAGAAGCTCACATTACAACAATGGCCATATAATGAGCCTGTTCAAGGGACTCCAATTCAGAAATTAGCTCCAACCCAACGGGCGTGTTACGGACCAATGGTTGTCGTTTGACAACTAGGCCCAATTTCTGCCCGAGTCCATGTAATTTCCGTAAGTTTTCATTTGCATAGAAATTGAACAGTAACAAAATATTAATAAGAATATAATTATGTAACCAAAACAGATCATCAATGGAAACTACAGATATTTGTTTAAGCCAATCTAACTTTTGTCCAATCGGAAGCATCTGAATTTTACCCTAAAAACCAAAACATCCCACAACCGGCAATAGCTGATAGGCATAAGTTAACAATTCTAATCCTTTTTCCTCCATCCAAACAGTGGATGGAAGTTCAAAAGTAACTCCACAATTTTAAACTTACAAACATTTACTATGTGCAGATCTAATTAGGCAGTTAATTAGAGGCACATAAGCAACAAAGTTCCCTCTGCAGGGACAAGCTACAGCACAACCTTCTCCTCTCTCGAAACCGAGATTTTTATTGCCTAGAAATCTGCATCGGTGGTTGCTGGTTGTAGAATTTACCGTCTGAACCTTGAAAACTCTGGTAAGTGTTTGCCGGTGCCATGAACGGAGAAATGCCATTTACTGGAGCTCCTGCTTGATAACTAGGCATTGGGGGTGGTGGTTGTTGGGCCACGTTATAGGTGTATTGTCCAGGAGACGGCACATATTGGGGCACTTGGTACTGTGGTTGCGGTGGCAATGGTGGCAATGGTGGAGGAGAAGATGATGGGGGAGGTGGTGCCTCACTAGGAGTGTATTGTTGGTTGGTGGTAGAGACATTGTGCGGGAGAGAATCAGAACGCGAGAAGGGAGGAGATGCAGACGGGTTAGGGCTCTGGGGTACATAGGACGACGATTGGTCGTTCTCCAGCTTAAGCCTCTTTTCGGATGGATAATCACCAGAAGACTCGTTAATTGGATTGCTGATGACACCCTCTGATGCCAGAGAGGAGAGGACATAAGAGAGCATCTGGGCTGAGGATGTTGATGCGGTCAGCTTTGCTGCCACTGCAGCAGCTGCAGACTTGCGAGGATCTTCCTCCACGCGACCAGATTTTTCGGCAAAAGGAACCTGCTGTGTGTACATTACTGGAGCTGATTGTTCTCTTCCTACCATAAAACTGGGAGGTGCTACAGAGGTATGAGCTTCCTTTGAGCTCTGGACTGCTATCTGCTGTGCATTGTCCCCATTCACTAACCGATGGCAGATATTAGTGGCCAGCTCTGACTGGGACTCTGCACCCTGGAAAACAATATATGCACAGTGTACGCTTAGAATATATTCTATACAACTAGAGTTATAAATGGCAAGACAACCAACAGTCAATACGTGATAACTATATAATTAGCTGTATAAGTGTTTATTTACTACTTAATTCAGATCAGTTATTTTGACAAAGGATATCATCATTAGTCGATTCTACATGAATTTGAATTGCATAAAGTTGATCCAAAACCAAGGATATTGGACAGTATATGCAGGGCATTGCAATTTACCTTAAACTCATAAGTGCAGGAACTCAAGTCAACCCCATGGAGTATCACAATGCATCAACATATGTGTCCCACAAGAAAGGGAACCAACTCACCCTCCTCCAATAAGCATAAGATTTATATATGAGTCCCACAAGAAACCAACTCACCCTCTCCGATAAGCATAAGTTTCAGAGGTATTTACAAATCTACAAAATCTAACTTTTATTTGACATCTCAATTGGTGAATCTTTATATATCTAACTAAAGTTTCGGCATCCAGTTTAATTTGATCGTGATGAATTAACCAACATTCATAGAGTTATGTTATACTTCGACAGTTCCACGACAAAACTAGATGAGATAGATAGATACACACAGCTTACCTGAAGTTGGTTTCGGACTTGATCCAGCTTGTACTCCTGATACCAAAACCATGTTAGATCACCTAAAATCATAACGTCATAAAACAGTAAATGAAAATTCTGATATTTTGCTAATAGGATTGTCTGCCAACCAACCTGCTCCTGAAGAGCCTCTCTCAAATGAGACACAAGATTAGCTCTAGATGATTCAACAGCTCTTAGTTGTTCAATACAGTTCCTCAGTATAGCATGCTGACCCTGAACCTCCTCCACAAATGCAGATCCATGAAATTGCCCTAGTGAAGAAAGACAATTTAGGGCAAAGTTAAGTCACGAACACTACATATGTTAAAAGTTAGAGAAAGTTCTCAAGAATTTACACATCTTGGGTATACCTGAATTGACATCTACACCAATTTCCTTATCAACCTTCTCAAGACAGCTAATAGCACTCCTGCATTTGCTCAATATAGTATCCTCGTCCATCTGCCCATGGATAACTTGATAATCTGAAACTATTTTGTCCAATGAAGTTCCAGCAGGATGCTTCTTGTTTTTTCAATGAAAAAGGTAAGAGGAAAAAAAAGGTTAGCCATCAAACTGTAAACTGAAAAAATGCTCACGCAATAGTCATAACATACGATCTTACCAGTCTGGCACCCGAATGCTTCCCATTTCTGTTATTAGTTTCCGGGTGCTGTCCAACAAACTCTTGCTTGAGAATCTGGCCGCGAGAACCAAAAACTTTTCTATCATCCCATATATTAACCTACAAGGTAGAAACATAGAACCCCAACAATCAGCAACAGCTGCAGGTTAGTTTCTACAACAAGAAGAAAACAAGAAAATGAAACAGTACATATGCACATGCATACATATAGAGAGTTGAGTCCTTCTATCCATCTTATAAACCAAAATTTTGGTTTTGCTCAAGGTTTCCTTTGGATTAATCTGTTCTCAATAGAAACTATCTCCATGACAACTAATTCCATTTTTTTTTTCTTTTAAAAATGTAGAAACAGGTATGCAGTTGTACCAATCGTTGTGCTGCATTTCTTCCAAATTCATCTCCACTTTCAATTACATCACGAAGAGCATCTGGAAGAACCTTCCAAAATTCACCAACAAATTCCGAACCTTTTCGCCTACTGTTCTGTAAAATATCATTTGCAAGATACAAGAAAGCCAATCTCTGGTCGCGTGGAGCACAATGAAATTGCCTAGCCCATGTTTCAACAACTTGTCTTGCTTTATTCATATGGAAAATGCACCAATGTGATAAAGCTAAATTGCATTAAGGATAACAACCAAGTACTCAGAAAACAAAGATAACAAGCATCGACAACATGTGCAAAAATAATGAGATATGCCAAAGCTCAAGATGCACAGGTATTACTAGTTGTACTTGTAAATTAAAACTTACAAGAAAAGTATAATATCAACTAGACAATAAACGAAACAATGATTATGGAATAGCAGGTAAAAAGGATTCAAATTTGGCAGCGATTTTGGCAATTGATTTCAAAATCAATTAAGTTTTCCAAAGAAATGAGTTATGAGACAAGATGGTGGCTAAATTGTCCCACAAAAGGAAATCTTTAGAACAGCCAGAAAAATTGTCTACAGTTCCTCTATGAAAAAGCTATAAAGAACATTGATATCCATGTGATGTCAGCAAAAGGATACTCTCTATGCTTGCTTGCGAGCTATTGAGCTTGGCTAGCTTTTCCACTAAAATCTGCGGATTGAATGTACTTCCCATGATTCCAGCAACAGTTGGTCCAACTTATAATGCACAATGCAGCCCTTAAACTGAGAAAACCTTCAAGCAAAACAAATAAACATTTAGATATACAGTAGCAGATTCCACCTGGCAAGACACCTAGAAGCACAGTATATCGACCAAAACAAAATTTCACGTCATCATAAGACTGAAGATTGGGAAACCTTGCATCTAGGAAAGCAACAGTCACGATCAAATTGTAACCATGGACAATATATCAACTATTCATCCCTCTAGCATCACATGTGAGAAATAGCATATAATATCATTTTGTGTCAACAAATTTAGATTACAAACAGTTCCTATGATAAATTACTTTAAAACTTATAATGATTCAAGCACCCAAACCAGAGCGGAAGGATAATGCCTTCTCAAATTCACCTAAACAAGAGCTTGTAATGAGCCTACGAAAACTAGTAAAAAATGATAAAAATATAAATGTTTTAAATCTAGTCAGGGATAATAAAGAAAATATAGAAAGTGAAATGACTCTGCATCTGGAGTTGGCTATTATGCCACTACAAATCCCAGAAATGTAACACTTGTGTCCAGTCAGTGTGATAATACAATAAATACCATACTTGTGTGCTAACTGGCAATAAGTAAGTGCCCAAGTCCAATGATTTTGGAGGAGAGAATACAGTCAAAACTCGATTCAGATGGCTACCTCTAATAAAGAATGATAAATCCGTTATCCATAACTAGAAATTGTTGGAGGTAATGGTGGTCTCTTTGCCTATGCACTTTAAACCGTTTGTGAAACTGATGAAAATATAGGGGATAGATGATTTGGTCACACTTTCCGATGATAGAGTAGGCCATTAGTTAGCCCTTGGGCCTGCTCATGGGCTACATGGTCGGATCACGTCTTCATCTTTGGGCTATAGGTTTAGAAGCAGATGTGCGCAAATAAGATAGCTCTAGATGTTTCTAGATGTGACCGCTTCTGTACAAATGTGATGCAAGATTCCTGAAATTGGTTTTGACGTTTTGTTTGCCTATTACGTACTTCTATTTCCTTTGACGACCGATATATGGCCAGGTGCCTAACATGTAATGATTATGAAATGAATGACCGACAAGTTTCCTTTAATGAATGATAAGTAAAATCTTCGTTGTCCATACAAATAATGGTATTGCCAAAATGACTGCGCACTACAATCTACAGTTTGGCAATAACTCCCAGACCAAAATGACAATGTAACAAACAAAGAACAATCATTGTGCCAATTCTAATTCTAAACGCCAATTCACACAATCGGCAGTATGTTTTCCTAATTTTGCTACACCTGATGCTCACTCACGGTACCTACAAACCACCAAACATCAATGTGCTTGCTTATAAAGTTTCCATCTTCAAATCATTCAGCTACTCAACATTACATACTCAATTAGTCAATGACAAATCAAACTAAATTAATTAATTAACCGACGGGAGTTTTAACGAAACACTTCTGGTACTGTTCACTTTTAACGAAAAAAACATTTTTACTCTAAAAAGTCACTTACAACACATCTTTGTCATTTTGATTAAAACTCAAAGTTTTCATGCCTTTTTCATTAGTTTTCCTTTAACTGAAACTACTAATCACAGATTTACAACAGATTAATTAGAAGAAGAAGAAAATGAACAAAAGCAGCATCCAGCCAAAACCCAAATTTTTTTCTTCCATAATCTACATATTATCCCTGACTTTTCCTGTCCAATTGAACCAGTAAATTCAAAATATTACTCCAAAATTCAGAAACAAACAAAAAAAGATTCTTCAAATATTGCCTGAGAGTAACACTCTACAGCCCTAAAGTAGAATTAAGAAATAGAAAACACAATTAGCGAAAAAAAACTAAAAATTGGAACCCTAGAGCTTGGAGTAGGTACCTCTTGCGTTGATAGGAATGCGGTGGCCAGAGCAAAAATATTCAGCGGCGGGTACAAGTAGCAATCTCGAGTTCGTCCATGAAGGATTAGGGGGTAAGCTTACCCAGCTGAATTCGGACTCGGAAAACTCCGAAAGACGGAATCTTTTTATAGTTCAAGTTGTTCAACGGCTTCTTCTCCTTCTCTCTCTCTCTCTCTCTCTCTCTCTCTCTCTCTCTCTCTCGAGTTTCTCTCTCTTGAGTTTTATTTTCTTACCACCGTCGGGGATTTTTAAAGTTCCGAAAGCACCCTTCGCTTGTGGTGTTCTTGAGTTCTATGTTTAGGGGTTTTAGCCGGGAGGGTTGTCAACTGCACAAAAGTTATCCCGCCACGACGTCGTACTGGTTCAGACATATGTAGCACTTTCCGTATAATTTTGATAATGTGTAATTTATGGGAATTTGTATCACTTTACAGTTTAACGTCAAATAAATTATTTTAAAAGTGGAATTTGTCATTGATTTTTTACCATCTCGCAGTTTAATGGAAATCTCGTGCCAATATTATAAAATTTATGCTAAAATTATGAAGTGATAAAAAATCTATAGTGAGTCTCCTTAGTGTTTCTCATTTATTATTGTTGTTTGTTATTAACTTATTATTGAGTTTTATTCCTGCGTTGCTAAATCACACAATAATGATAAAAAAATTGAAATATCTTTATGAATCTTCTCGACCTCTCATTTTTATTTGAGATTAATATTTACTATTTAGTGAAATTAAAGGAGGAATTACCTCATTAATCGAATAAAAAACATAAGTAAAATATGATAAATGAACCATCATTAATTTATGCTTCCACAAAGAAAATACACCCAATCACCATCGGCAATCTCGCTGACTGTTTACATAACACTACACAAACGAATAATAATAAGATTACAACAAGTGACAATAATTTCGAAATACATGAGCTTTAATTCGAAAAAACAATTTCATGCTGCTGTTGTTGGATCTCTAGGCATTCATCAGTTCTTCAAAGACATTCATGGCAGAAGCCGGAAGCCCCAGAAGCACGTTTATGTTCTTCTTTTCTGTTCCATTAGAAAGGAACAAGATCACTTCCTTCTCCGGCAATGCCACCGGGCCCGAGAGCACAGGCTCTCCCCAACCAAAATCAGTGGTGTAGAATGACAGCCTAGACCAAGTCGTGATCAAGAGTGTGGAGGCCAACGAAGGCCTAGCTCGCGTCAGCTCGAAATAATCTATGGCAGATCTCATGTAACTGTCAGTGACTATCTTGATTGCATCTTGAACTAGTCCGACTGCATTTGACAGTGGCTTGTCCAGCAAGTCACCTGCCTTGCAGATGGAATTTGTCAGTACAATGCCGTTGCCGAAGTATCCTTTTGGCAGCGACGGGCTGAATTTAGGCCTCCCGTCAACAGCAAACATGAGCTTTATTTGTTGTTCAGGCAGCATATTTAGCGCTCTGGTCCGAGCTTTCCACACAAATGCAGAGAGGGCTTCGAATGTAGTGCAATTTTCAAGCGCCCCGTCTTCCCTGGCCTTCGTTTTGAGTTTTTCAAGCTTTTCACTGTCGAAACAGAAGGATCTGTACAGCATTTTTTCTTCACAAGGGTCCTTGTTGGTGCTAGAAGTGGCAGTAATCTCTGAGAATTCTTGATGCAGGTACTCTATCCTAGGTGGGTTTCGAGCTTTGAGTATGCTTCTGTCTAAAAACGGAAGATCTGTCAATTGTAAACCTCTGGCGATTTTACCCCACGAGTTCACGAATTCCATAGCGCCAATGCCATCAAACATACAATGATTCATGCACAGGCCAAGAGCAAATCCTCCACATTTGAATTTAGTCACCTAATGAAATGATCATTAATTTACAAACGTAATTTCAAGAGACGAGAAGTGAAATTGTATTGAAGAGATATAGTCACAAACCTGAGCCACCAGTGGAGGAATCTCCAGTATGGTCCTTGCACCAGGAACATCATAAACCAGCTTCCCAAGAGTCTCGGGGTCCGGCTTTGTTATGTCTCCAATCTCTTCTATCACGCAATCTGCTTCAGCCTCAACGAAAACAGCTCCTTCCCCGGTGCAATCCACAATGAGCTTTCCCTCCGCGCTGATTGCTAATCGTCCAGCGAGGGGGTAGTAGTGGACAAGAACCTTCTTCAAAGCATCCTTGATCACTTCCCCTGCCTTATCATTTCCCTTTGCATCCGACTTGAAGCAGTAAATAGTACGAACAGTCACCGCAATGTTCTGATCGAGGTTCGAGAGGAAGTACAAACCCTTCTCAGTTTCAACCGCAGGGGGAACCAGAGTTGGCTCTCCTTGCTTCACTCTCAGCTGGAACGCGTGGCCATTGGTGTTGTTGCTGTCCATTGCGGCAGAGTCTCCGAATTCAGCAACCTGAAAACACAGTATCAAGAAATGCAGAAAAGAAGAAGCAAGATCATAAAGAATTTAGGACTCATTCGATACTGCTTCTTTAAGAAGCATTTGTGTTCATAAACGTTTGCTAGAAGTACTTTTATTAGAAATACGAATTTTTTTTTTTAAGGAAAGTGCGCTTTTATGACTCCGAAACACTTTGTCAGAAGCACTTAGCCCTTCTCAAAGCAGTTCCACACAAACCTTTAAAGTGAGTTATGAGAGAACAAACCATATGAGCAAGCTGATGAACGGAAAGGAGAATTCTGAAAATAGCTGAAAGGAATGCTCAGAACTCAAATGACGAACCCGAAAACTGATGAGGCTCGGCAAAGGGAATGGCTTTCGAGGTTCCAGGAGGACTGGAGGAGCAGGATAATTATAGAAAGGTGGAATGACGCAACTTATCAATTGCGTTACTTGTTTTAGAAAGAGAAGGTAATGGTGAAAAGGGACAGGTAGTTGTGCCTGAAATCCGATGATCCAAATGTTTTCAGGCTACGAAATGAAACTACAGAGGCTGTGTTTTTCATCTGGAAATAGAGTACAGGGCAGGAAGATGGGTGGGGGTAGGCCACTGGTACTGAAACCTAACACACCAGACAAGGAATCTAATGTCATAGGAGAGAAAAGTGTGGGGGCTTATTTGGTGGGGTTGGTATCCAAATTCCATTAACTCCCTAACTCCCTATTGCTTTGCTTCCTCTTACTCCAAGTTTTTTCTTTGAACAAAGGAAATCACGACAATCACACAACGCAAACTCTAACATGCTTTCTCACGAGTAGCCCCACACGACGTCACAAGGACAACCAATTTCCACATAGGAACTAGTCAAGTCATTATACCGAAGTTACTGCAACTTTTTGAAAGTCCAATCATCATTCAGAGACTAGAGCCAACGCAACTTTTCGAATGCTCAGTCATTAAAAAACCCAACTAATTAAGGAGACAAATTCAAGCCTAGTAAATTGGGCCCAAGATGTGTTGAAAAATAGCTTGGTCAACTAATAACACCGATACTCTCCCAATTTAACCACCATTATTAGACGTTCAATTTTATCACAAAAGACATTCGATGGTTTAGAGGTAGAAACTTCCATATATTAATTGTATATTATTTTACCATAAAATTGATGCAGGATCCCATTCTCCAACAATTACAAGTTATCACATAATAATGTCCTAACCTTTGCTTCCCAGCTCTCATGTTTTTGTAGTTTTTTTTTTCTTCGGCCGGACTCGTGACTCGTAATTCCTGTGATCATTGCGGTGGAAATGGCACAGTAACAGTGAGGTTGCTTTTCAACATACACAGCGACATGCTTTAGAACTTTGAAGACCATGGAGAGAGATAGAGACAAGGGTGTATGAAAAGTGTCGCAGACGAATAAATTGTATTGGAAACAGAGTCGGAGATACAAAAATAATCGCTACAATTTTACGGTATACATTTCCAGCTATACGGATACAACATCACACGAACTCTTCGCACTAGGCTTATCGATAGCTCACAAAATGGTTACTCAAAAGTCCAAACACCAATTGATATTTCAATTTCTTGGGCACGCATGGTTTTACTTGTCACTCTTCGATTCCAACTACTGAAAACAGCTAAGCGGGTGGTACACTGACCTCGAAAAAGTCATGCCTGACCACACTTGCTTAGACAAGCAACTCCTTCTTCTAGATAATCCTCCCTCGTGATCCAAAATTCAGGAGCGTCCTGTATGTGTTAACCACCACATTGAAATTTTCTTAGACCACTTGCAGTTACCCATCTCCAATGTGGGAAATTGATGACATTGTATGGAAACTCGATCTCAGAGACAGAGAGAACAAGCAATGACATGTACCTTCATAATTCCTGCAAGGACTGCACCACCTAGATACACCATGTGCTTTCTTCGTGGAGGATCTTCAATTCGCAATCGCAATTTCTGTTCAACCCAAACTTTAGAGCGTGAGAAATAGAACGAATGAGCTCAGTCGATTATGCCACATTCAACTTGATGACATTCTTTCTAATCACTAAAGTTTGGATATCAATCAGGATATCCCGACCTAGCCATAGTCCGTTTAGTACCACTTCAATACCAACATAATACACATGCTATGTTCCAACTGTTTCACATTTTTCAAAGCTCGGTTTGTTCTCTTTCTTATCCATGAAACACAAAACTCTTATCTTACCTTCAGTCCATCTTTGTTACCCTTCAAAACAACGTCAAGATAGCGGTCCAGTATTTCTTTCTCCAAACTGAAGAAACACCACATCTAATATCAGAACTTCATCGACTCCTAAACCAAAATTTAATAAGGAAACAAAATGCCCATACGACAAAAAAGAATTCATTCAGTTGTCAACGTAAAAGGGTAAATTTAATTTCAAGCTTAATTATTAAATATACAGAAACCTGACATCCCCATGTCAGATATAACTGGAAAAAGAAACTACTTTAAATAAGAAATTTATAATCCAAGTGATACAAAGAAGGGTAAGATATTACCGACTAGGTAATCCAGGATACATCGTGCTCCCTCCACTTAAAACAATATGCTGGTAGAGCTGCAACAAGGGCAATAAAATCATACAATCAATGACAGGAAGTTAAATGAATAAAAGAATAATCCATGCTAATTTGCAATAGGATTCATATAGGTACCATCATCCTGTTGTCAATATCCATTTCCTGAATGCAGCGGAATACCATGTCCGCCATCCCATCACCTTCAACATCTATAAGTTCCTGTACAAGGAAAATATATGATTATTCAAAGCCTTCAAGCTGTTATAACTTTTATACAAACCCGGCATTGTAGGTGCTGATATCACTTTGAAGAGGTGCAAATTGCATTCAGTATTATATGTAACAAAATGATAATTGATTTAACAGGAGGCTAGACTGAAAACATTTGAGCAATTTAGTTGACCAGAGAAAAGTTTAAACAACCAACATCAAGAAAAGAGCACAGAAAACTGGAAAGTTACAGGAGTGAAAAGAGCCTCAGGAGCCTGGAACCTTTCAGTGCCAACTTTAATCACCCTTCCATCTGGCAGCTGAATAAACCGTCATATATCAGAGAATTAGCATCAATATATATCTCTTTATTAAAATTATAGCAGATATAATAAAGGGGGAGCCAAAGAGAAAAATGACAGACAAAAACGAAGAATCACCAAAATAAGAAAAAATTACTGGCATTAGAGCAAAGAAAGCGCGACATACAAAAAGCATAGACAAATAAAAAAGATCTTATAAAATGGCCACCCCTGATTATGTCTTTTCCATCAAGCCTTGCATAGAAGAATTGGATATCTAATGAGATGCTATGGAAACTAACTTACAGTGTAATTTTTTACAAGTATGGTGGTCTCAAGTCCCAACTGATACTCCCTTTTGTAATCATAACTGCATCAAATTGGATACATAATTCATGAGATTAATAATTTTCACAACATTCCGCACTAAAAACAAAAAGTTCCATAACATAAGAATACAGGTTTTGTTTACCTAATATAGCAGAGCTTCTCCTTGATTTCCCTAACAGTCTCAAAATCAGCTGTTCTATTCATTGAATACCTTCACGAATAAAGTTTCAATCCTCAGTCAAATGAAAGTTTTATTTTAACAAACCAAAGATAGTGCAAACCATATTGATCTTACTAAATTATAAGCAAATGGTTCTCACCCCCTCCGTGAGAGTAAATCAACAAGATAGGAAGTTATGTGTCGGCCAGCTACATTCATTCGCTTTGTAAGATGAGGAAATGAGTAGCCATCAACAACTGGAACCTAGAACGTTGAGCAAATTAATTAAAAGTTGATATAGAGTTTGATTTCCCTTCAATGCTTTCCATCACTGTGCATTCTCCAAGAACTAATCAGCTCAAACATACATCTGCAGAGTGATACAATATGCAAGCTGTTCCCAATACTCCTAGTACAAAACATAGAAGTTTTTTGAGGAATTTACCACATGTGTAACACCATCACCGGAGTCAATAACTAATCCAGTCAGCAAGCCTGTAGAAAAATAAGGAAACAATGAAGCCCATGACCCGGAAAAAGCAAAACTTAATGTTATGATTGTTCCAACAAATAATTCTGGCAAGTAATAATAAGCGCTTTCACTCTAGTCTCCCCATCAATGTTTTCGAAGAATTTGAAGTGCAACAGTCAAAAGGACATACTTGTTTGTAGAAATAACACGAAGAAAACAAAAAAGGGAGAAACAAAAGAAGTTGGGGGTTTGGGGGGGGTGGTTAAAAATCCAATATCATATGCATTTAACCTTTAATCATCTATAAGCACCTTGAGCATACAAGGTTAGAACAGCTTGAATTTGAATGAAGACACCAGCAAAATTGTATTTCTCAAACATGGTCTCAACCTGAAATGTCGAACAGCACCAAATCATGAGCCAAGAATGCCATAATTCACGATATTTATTATGGTACAGATGCGATTACCATTACCAAAACAAAAAAAATACCATTTTTTCACGGTTCTTTGAAGGATTAAGAGGCGGGTCTGTGAGTAAAATCTGACACTCAGTAGGATCTATCTGTTGACAGAAAGTACACATCAGAGCATTAACAATTCGAATGAAACTATAACATCGAAATTCACAATCAAAGGCAGCAAGCGTTTACCTTTAGCTCACTGTAAAATGCATGGTCCCAGACATGACCCATATCATCCCAGTTTTGCACAATGCCATTGCTAACCGGGTAATTTATATCCAGTTGATGCCGAAATTCCGCGCAAGCTTCTCCAACAATGACATCCTAAACTCATTTATAAAATTTACAAGAAAAAAAAGGCTCTCTGAACCAATCACTAAATCACGAGCTAATAAAGATTAAAAATTGTGTTAAAAAGACAATTAAAGTATTAACCTTGATTTCTTGTTCCATAAGGGATTCCTCATATCGAAGCAGTGGCCTTCCAACTACGCAAGGGAATACCGAGGTGGGGAAATTCTCTCCAGCAAATCCACATTTCACATACTGCAAGTTCAATCAAACGAAATTAACAAAACCCAAAAATTAAATTATGATTTAACACCTGCGGATCCTAAACAGAGGTCAAAATTTGCTGGATCGTTGGACACAGATTAGAATACAAGTGCTTTTTTTATAAATGCTTTTCCTTGCGTGTGAGGGAAAGCAGGAAAGCTAGATAGAGGAGTGTACCCCGGTGCCATTGTCGCACACGACGACGTTTCGATTGTTCATGTTCAGCTGCGTGCTGATGAGAGTTTGTTGCTGCTGGTATCCTCTACTGCATTTCTTCAACCTGAAGTTCGTTCAACCGCAGGAGAGAGAGAAGCGGCGTTGTTAGGAAAAACAAGGAAGAAAGGAAAGATCTTATGGGCCTTGGGTCCTATAAATTGGGCCACCGGCCCACAAGGCATCGCATAACTCAACTGAAAGCCCAGCCAGTACAGTCACTGTTAGTTAATATATAAATCGTGAGCCTTTCTTCTAGGGTTTACGCCGTTTGAGGAGTTTCAGAGCTACCAAGCAGGTCGAAGCAGCAGCCTCCGAAAATGGTGAGTATCTGCTCCCTCTCCGTCTTCCTCCGCCTCCCATTCCACCACCGTCGCATTGGAGCTTCCATTAATCTTCACCGTCCTTGTTCACTTCTCACATATTCATTTCTTTTACTCAGGCCCCCAAAAGAGGCGTAAAAGCTCCAGTCGCAGCTTCCAAGAAGAAGACGGTATGCATCTTCTGTTTCAATATATATATATATATATATATGATGATTTTGCGATTTGCTTCCATGGTGATTTTGATTGGTGGTGCTGTGTGGTGTTTTTATAGGACAAGGTTGTAAACCCGCTGTTCGAGAAGCGCCCGAAGCAGTTCGGTATCGGAGGGGCATTACCACCGAAGAGGGATCTGACCCGGTTCGTGAAATGGCCCAAGGTGGTTCAGATTCAGAGGAAGAAGAGGATCCTCAAGCAGAGGTTGAAGGTTCCTCCAGCGTTGAACCAGTTCACCAAGACCCTCGATAAGAACCTCGGTAGTTTTCGATAACTCTTGCCTTTTGATTGCGTTTTCCTGGTTCTGCATTTTAGTACTTTTATTTGGAGAAATTGTTTGGAACCCTCATAGGACTGTTATTCTTCTTCTTTTTCTCCAATATACGAATGTTAGATTGAGATTTTGATTTGATGAATAAGTTTACAAAGAATTTTATCTATTTATATTTTTGGGGTTTATCATTTATAATGTGCTGATTACAAGTTTCTCAAATTCATGTTCCTTGATATGATTACGGCACAATATAATTTGTTTCATTATATAGAAGAAAATGTGAGATGTCGATAGGTATTACGGTTATGGTATATCGGGTGTACTGGCTCGTTGGTATGTTTCCAAACTGTTTTGTGACTGTATTGTCGCGGCCTTTATTGTTTCTGCTGGATTTTATGGAAGCGCACAAATTATAACGTTGTCTCTTATACCTGTGTGCAGCCACCAGCCTGTTCAAGATGCTTCTCAAGTACAGGCCTGAGGACAAAGCTGCAAAGAAGGAGCGCCTTTTGAAAAGGGCCCAGGCCGAGACCGAAGGCAAATCTGTTGAGGCCAAGAAGCCTATTGTTGTGAAGTATGGTCTCAACCATGTGACCTACCTCATAGAGCAGGTTTTGCTCTCTGCCATGTGCATGTGTCTTATGTTCTTTGTTACAGCGTTTACATTTTGAGTAATGTTGTTTTGCAACTGTATTTTACTTGCAGAACAAGGCCCAGCTTGTTGTTATCGCACACGATGTTGACCCAATAGAGTTGGTTGTTTGGCTTCCTGCTTTATGCAGGAAGATGGAAGTCCCATATTGCATTGTGAAGGGCAAAGCACGCTTGGGATCGGTAATATTTTTATATTTCTAGATTCTTGGTTGTTTTAAGTCGGTTTGTCTATTATATATGAACTAAGAACAAACGTTTATCTCAGATTGTCCACAAGAAAACTGCATCAGTTTTGTGCTTGACAACAGTCAAGAATGAGGATAAGTTGGAGTTCAGCAAGGTCTTGGAGGCAATCAAGGTGGGATTGAATTAAATTCCTTGACCAATTTCTCGAAGCTGTTGTTAATTTACTTTGTAGTGCTTACGTTGTCCATATTGAGATTGAACGCTTTGTTTAATTTGGTGTCTCGCTTTGTTGCAGGCCAACTTCAATGACAAGTATGAGGAGTACAGGAAAAAGTGGGGTGGCGGCATCATGGGTTCCAAATCCCAGGCAAAAACTAGGGCGAAGGAGAAGCTCCTTGCGAAAGAAGCTGCGCAAAGGCTTAATTAAATTTGGTTGTTTTTTGTACTTCTTTCTACTTAGGAAAAGATTGTCCGAGTTTGCTTTTCGATTTTGTGTAGTTAAAGTTTGTTTAGATCAACCGTTGAGGTTTTCTTTTCCTTTAAATGCCGCAATGTTGTTTAGCCGGTTGGATCAAGACTGAATGGACATGCCGAATTTGGTACGGTTTTGGGGATATCCAGTGATGAGCAATTACATTATGTTTTATGATGATTGTTTCTGTTGCACAACTCATATGCAATATGCTTATTTTGGTATACCATGTTATTTGAAATTTTCTTGTATGAGTCATGTACCGGATGAGCTTTTGTTTGTGCTTTGCTTCATAGTTCATCTGTTAGGGATTCGTTTGAGAGGTGCTTTTAAATGACTGAAAGTGTTTTTAGATTCCAAAAGCAATTAAATGCTTCCCTTTTCATGTGTTTTTTAGGATTACCTTGCATTTTTACTAGGATTTGTGTCTGATAATATTTTATCTAAAATACTTTCAGTTATTTAAAATAATTTTCAAACGATCGCAGAGGTATTTTCAAGTCTTGATTTTTAAAGAAAATTACTTCGAACATAAACAATTTCCACAAAAGCATTCTATACGAGCCAATGTTAAACAAAAATATGCATTATAACATTAGATAGAAAGATAAATATCTTGATTTTTTTCCATCATGAATAGCGAAAGAATGAAAAGAATTTTCCCATAGCCATCAATCTATATAGGTAAAGATGTGAGGGTCATCACCAAAATGATGATAAGACATTAGAACTCGTAATATTAGAAAAATAAATACCATGACTTAAAAGTTAGAACAAGTTTACTAAAGTGGCCAGAGTCACAAAAAAAAAAATAAATAAATTGTTGCCTAATAAGAAAAGAAATACAAATTTGCATTTTTTTTTTTCATCCTTTAAGGAGGACAACTGAGGGAAACCCACGATTATCCACCCATTTCAGAAGAGAACAATTAGTGTCAAACTACGGTTATCTATTTATTTTGAAGGTGAAGACGCATTTGCATTTGAGAAAAGAGATTTAAAATAAAATTTTCCAAAAATAAAAATTCGTTATATTGTAAAAAAGTTAAAACTGAAAAAACAAATTTCGGTCCTCACCCCCTATTTGCATATATAGATTTTTGTAAGGTCTCCACGAAAATTACACTTCGCTTTGCCTGTTCCGATCATACACAACCCAAACCCTCACCCTCTCTCTCCCCCTCTGCGACCTCTCTCTCTCTCTCTCTCTCTCTCTCTCTCTCTCTCTCTCTCTCTCTCTCATTTGCCTGCAAGACTTGCAATTCCCCAAACCCTAGAAATCTCTGCCTCTCTGTCTTCCTCCCATTTTCCCCATCTGCAAGTGTTCGCTTGCAGAGGCTAATTCCGCGTTCCCTCTCTCTTTCCGCATCTCGAAGCCCGATTAGCTGCCCTCTCGTCTCCGTAATTCCTGCAAATCCTCTGCAATTCGAATCGTTTTGACCTCCGATGGCGCACGGAAAAGTCAGTCTCCCTCAAGATCTCCTCCCCTCGAATCTGGTCGATTCACACTTCTCCGCCAAAGGTTTGCGTTCCTCGGCGTTTCTCAATCCATATCTCTTATCATTGCATCGATTCTCTCTGTTTCTTTCGCATCAGTTTCTTTTCTGCTCGATTTGAATCGCATTCATACATACACCTACATATCCATATACATATACATATATCTGTATTCTTTAGAATGTCATGTGTTGAAAAACTTTTGAATGTTCATGATATCGTTATCGCTTTTCTTTTCGATGTTAATTTGGAGACGAAATTTGGGATAATTCTGTTGCCAAGGTGCTCATGTCATCTTCCTTTCTGTTGTGTTTTTCATTAGTAGTGCTGGTGCTATTAGCAGTTCATTGAACTATTCGTGCACTGTTTTCGGCCTATTTTATTTTTACTTTCGGTGAACTTCTTGGATTTTTAAATTATGGACAATCTGCTTTCGAAGAATGTAAGTAAATATGTATCTTTTCTGTTTGTCATCTTAGATGAAGCCTTCCAAGGAAACAGTGAGGAGAAGACAGCTAACGGGGTCCCTTCACTTGTCAATTGGTGGTTGTGCTCCCTTTCTAATTATCCATTGTTTTCCCATGTTCAATTTTGTTCACCGCATTGGCTTTCATTTACTGTATTTTTGTTTATGATTAGTGTGAGCCTGCCAATTAATTAGTTTAACATGGTCCTAATTGCAGATCAAGTTGCCTCAGACAGCAGCATCCCTTTATCTCCACAATGGCTATATGCCAAACCAGATTCCAAGACACTAGCAACTGGAACGTCAGGAGTATGTACCTTTTCAGTTCTTCTCCCTTAATTGTACTGCTGTTAATTATGTATAAACTTAAATGTTATCGTGGGTTGAACAGACAACTAGATTTACAGTTTCTAACCCTTTTACATACAAGTGATGTAATGACTTGTCAGATCCTTATTTTCTTTAGTGATTGCTGTCATACTTTGGTATCTTTACCCTCTCTTTCTGGAGACCATAGTTTGTTGAATTCTACTAATTTAAATGCACTGTAGTGGTTTGAAGCCTCTCAATTTTGCGTTTTCTTTATGCTTCTGAGGATTTTGTTATTGTCTCTTAAGCCATGTATCTAATCTAGTGTTTGAATTCAAAAAGGACATTGAGCTATCATAGGAGCGAATTATTATGTTTTAAAAAAAATGATTAAAAGGATTTAGATTTTCTCTCTGCAAAGGATTATAATTCTCCTTGTTTTCAACCGTCATTATCCGTTTCTAAATACCGATAAAAATGACAGGAAGTGCATGCAAATGATTCTCTGTCTCATGCAAACTCAACTGATCCCAATTCGAGAGACATTTGGCGTGTAGATGGATCTCAGGAGAAAAAAGATTGGAAGAGGAATGCACCTGATTTAGATGGTAGTCGCCGCTGGCGTGAAGAGGAGAGAGAAACAGGCTTACTTGGTAGGAGAGATCGAAAGAAAGAAGATCGCCGTCTAGGTGCTAGTTTGACCAGGGATAATACTGAGACTAGAGCAGAAGATCGCCGTGTAGGTGCGACTACAACTAAGGATGCTGCAGAGAATAAAGTATTGTCTTCTGACCGCTGGATTGAATCCCGAAGAGATAACAAATGGTCATCAAGGTGGGGGCCTGAAGATAAAGAGAAGGACTCGCGAATAGAGAAAAAGACTGATGTTGAGAGGGAAGATGTACATGTCGAGAAGCAGTCTTTTTCCAACAGCAACCGTGCAGCTTCTGAGCGTGATAGTGATTCTCGTGATAAGTGGAGGCCGCGTCATCGCATAGACGGTCAATCAGCTGGGGCAGGCCCATATCGTGCTGCACCAGGATTTGGGATGGCTCGAGGGCAGGTAGAAAAAGTAGGATTTGCTGCTGGACGAGGGAGGTCTAACACTAATGGAAGCCTACAGATTGGCAAACTTGTACTAGGAAAATCTGGCCGTTTTGCCAATATGTATTGCTATCCCAGAGGAAAGCTCCTTGATATTTATCGCAAGCAAAAGAAGGATTCGACTTTTGATATGCCTGATGGGATGGAGCATGTATCACCATAACCCAAGTGGGCTTGATTGAGCCATTGGCTTTTATTGCCCCTGATGCAGAGGAAGAGGTATACAGATTATGTTGTTAAATATTTATTTAAATATCCACACAGCCACACACAGACCTATGTACGAATATATGACATGCTTGTTATCCATAAGGAATTGCTCTGTAGTTATCTTGGTTAAACAGGCAAGCACTGACTTGTTTCTCTGACCACCATTATTTGCTGATGTGATGCCTTCAGGCTGGTCTGGGTGACATATATAAGGGAAGAATTACTAGCAGTGAAGTGGTATACAACTCGTCTGGGGACGTGAATGTATTAGATGAAGATGCTAAAGGTAGATAAGTTGCATATTGTGAGACTCTTGCCGCATTGTCCTTCTCATTTGTTTCTGAAACTAGTTTTTTTCCATCTATTCAGGATCTAGCAATGTCAGTTTAAGCAAGGAGGAAGGAAAAAATGTCCAATCTGCTGAAAAGGTCAACTTAAACAATTCTTTTCCGGTTACTGGTGCTGAGTCACCTATTTGTGGCTCACAAACACATATGTTAAAAGGTAAGGAAAAGCTTTTGTAGACCTTATGTTTCTTGCCCTTTCATTTGAAACTATTGGTATTACAGCTTGTTGTATTTGAATACACTGTTTACACTTTCTCCAGAATGTGTTGCTACTGAAGGTGAGCAAAAAGTTCTGACGGTCACAGCAGTGGCTGATAGGGAGATTGATCCCAGTAATGATGACGCTGACTTAAAAAGTTCAAGATGCCAGGAGGTAAGAGATTTTGGTCTTTGAAGCATCCTTTATTGGACTGCATTAAATTTGATACAGTTGAAATTGATAGCCAGTTTCCTGATGATTCAAGTTTCCTTTTTCATTTTCCAATTTTCAGCAAACCGCAAGCAGTGATCATCACTATTTGAAGAGCAATGAGGACGTCTATCTCTTGGAAAGAATTGTCACACCTGAGGATATGAGTTTGTGCTACCTCGATCCTCAAGGGAATATCCAAGGACCTTTCCTAGGGATCGATATAATTGCATGGTTTGAGCAAGGATTTTTCGGAATTGACTTGCCAGTTCGTTCATTTGATGCGCCCAATGGATCTCTTTTTCAAGAACTTGGTGAAGTGATGCCACATCTGAAAACTAAATTTGAGCCCGTCTCTAATTCTAGTTTGCCTACTCAATTAGAGCCATCGGATGCTGTTGGAGGCAGCTTGGGAGAGAGAACATCTGCTCCTAACTATGATGGGGGGTCCGCTATTGTAAACAATCAAGGCATTCAGAATGTTGTAGCAGAAGATGAGGGTGTGTTGTGTTTTTTGCTTTTACTTTTCTATATTATTGTTTATGTCTGCTACACTGTTACTTTAATGGCTTCTTTCATTTTGGTTTGTACAGAAATTGTATTTCCTGGAAGGCCTAAAAGCAGCAGTGATTGCCTATCGAGGTCTTCAGCTGACATTCATGGCTTATTTGCAAATCCTCCCAGCCTTCATTCCCTTGCAAATGAAGTTTCAAAAACTAGCGTGCCTGATCAGCAGGACGATAAGTTGCATCCTTTTGGCCTGTTGATGTCAGAGCTCAGAGGCAACTCACGTTTAAGGCCTGCTCAATCATCTCATGCATCTTTCGGCATTGATGATCAGGTTCATTTTAGAGATGCCTTCTTTGAGGAAGGCGCCATTATTGCTAATCAGAATTCCCTTGGTGCCATGATTGATCAACCTTGCTTTGTGGAGACACGGCCTGATAATTATATAAAAAATAACACTAATGTTAGTATGGGTTCTATAGATCCTCACCATTTATCTCACATGGGACAACAAAACAGTGGCTATGACCCGGCAGAGCATATAATGTCACAGCAATTACTAAAAGAACGGTTTCAGCAGCTGAACTATCTTTCTCCACTTACTCTTGCACATAGTGCAGGAACAGGAGTGGACGGGTTCCCTGGATTTGGTTTTTCTGACAGCAAGAACCCTAATATCCAGCCGTCATTCCGTCATCCAGTGGCAGATATGGAACATATTTTTGAAATGCAGCGTCAGCAGCAGCATGAGTTGGAGCTTCGTCAACAGCAACACCAGTTGGAGCTTCAGCAACAGCAGCGTCAGTTGGAGCTTCAGCAACAGCAGCATCGGTTGGAGCTTCAGCAACAGCAGCATCGGTTGGAGATTCAGGAGCACCAGCGTCAGTTGGAGATTCAGGAGCACCAGCGTCAGTTGGAGCTGCAGCGCCAGCATCAGTTGGAGCTGCATCACCAACGTCAATTGGAGCTTCAGCAGCAACAGCGTCAGCTGGAGCTTCAGCAACAGCGTCACTTGCAGGAGCAGCTTCACCAACACCAAATAAAATTGCAGAAACAACAGAAATCTCAAGCTCAACATGTGCTCCTTGAACAGTTTTTGCATCAACAAATACCGGATTCTGGTTATGGGCAGTGGAAGGCGGATGCTACAAGAGGCAACCCTTTCGATCAATTACATTCAAGGAAGCACCTTCTAGATGACTTGCACCAGATCTCCCATTCCTCAAGACACAATCCATTGTTAGAGCATATCATCCAAGAAAATATAGGACGCTCAGGACAGACTGATTTCTTTGACCTCATATCTCAGGCCAAGCAAGGGAATATGCACATTTCGGATCTGCAGGCACAGCAGTTGTCCGCAGCATTGAGAGAGCAACTGCAGATGGAAGGGGAAAGGCGTGTTGGTGGGCCTCGGTTTGTAGATGAAGCAAGCCAAGTTGTTAGGAATCCTGTTGGTCATCACCAGGCTCAGATGGTAGGATTTAGCTCTTCAGAAAATTACCAGCAACAGCAGAGGTTTCCCACCCATGAACAGCAACTAAGCCATCTCAATTGGAATCATGCCACACGGGAGCAACCTCAGGGAGGGTTCTACGAACCTAACTCTGTGGAATTTGAGAGGTCATCTGTTCCTGCTAGTTCCCATGCGATGAACTTGGATATTCTGAGTGCTCGCAGGCTGGGTCTGGATGAGTTTTATTCTTCTCATCCAGTTGGTTTGGAGCACTTGCCCTTTGGGAACAATGGACATCTGGAAGATAGCTCCATTGAATCACTGCATCGTCATGCTGAGCAAAACCGCGACTCAGAAGCTACCATGGCTTTTGTTGATCCAGATATATGGGCTTCATCTGATGGTGATAAAGAACACTCAAAACAATTTTTGATGGACCTTCACCAAAAATTCAGTCAATCTATACAGTTATCAGAAGTTGATTATCAGCATCACCTATCGTCTTCTGGAAGCCGGGGAGAATCTGTACATCATCCATTTGATCTTCTTCCTGATCAACCAGTTGGTATGAACAACTCCTTCACAGAAGGGCCTTTTAGATCTAATTCCAGAGCATTTGTGGAAGATTTATCAGAGTTGGAGGGAAATAATTGGAAGAAACAGGGAGTGAAAAGCTATGAAGGCAACATGGGAGAACAAGAAGAAACATCAAGGGATCTTCGTAGTAATGCCCATAGCAGGCAGAGTTCACTTAGCAGTGCTGGTAATTTTTCAAATAATCTTGTTTCTTAGTCTCATCTTTATTTTGGACGAATTTTAAACTCTTTTGATGGTACAGGTGGAGGTGGGAGTTTTTACAGCTCTGAGACAGGGATAGATAAACCACTTGGAGAAGAGGTTTCTAATGGGAGGTAGTTTTCTTTTCTTTTTCCTTTTATGTGCAATACTATTATTTGAATGTGTGTGTGTGAGAGAGACGAGCAACAGAGAGAGAGAGAGAGAGAGAGGTACTTTACGTTTATTTGTTTGGTTATTTGTAACTTTGCATGAACTTGTAGCCTCATGTGAGTGATTTTGAATATCCGTTATTCTCAAGTGACGCGCTATTAGCTGGTTCATTATGAGATGACCGAGTCAATTTCATTACCTATATGTTGGTATACACTATTTCTGCAGTGTGCACATAAAGCATATTTCCCAATGATTTTGCACGTTCTAAGTTCTATGATAGACCTCTCTCTCTCTCTCTCTCTCTCTCTCTCTCTCTTAGCTACTTTGGTGATTTATAGCACAGATGATGTGTTTGAGATGCCAATCTGATTGTAACTTTCGATGGTCCATTCACAGACTGCCTTCTACTGTAACCAAAGGGTATGACAATGCTTTGAATAGACGCCGAGTTTTATCTTCCCAGGACGTTTTGTCTGAAGCAGCAGTTCCTTTACCTGTCATACAAAGAAATCCAGCTGCAACCCAGGTCTATGAAACCCAAGCATGTAGCAAGAATGATGCGCAATTTAGGAGGACTTCATCTTATAGTGACGCATCTGTGTCCGAGACATCATTCATAGACATGCTCAAGAAACCAGTCATTTCAGAGGCTGATGCAGCCAACAGAGCAGCTGCACTGGAGCCGTCTGATGGAGGTGGCCAAGCGGGGCGGACTGGCAAGAAGAAAGGGAAGAAAGGAAGACAGATTGATCCAGCTCTCCTCGGCTTTAAGGTTACCAGCAACCGGATCTTGATGGGTGAGATCCATCGCCTTAACGATTGACCCATGTTGTACGACCTGTAATGTTTTTCGTTCTCGGTATAAAAACTGTACAGCTAATTTAAGAGACATGGTTACCTCAGATTTTTTTCCCCCTTCTTAGTTTTCCAATCCTCTGGATTCCAAGGTAGAACATTTACGTAGTTAAAGAACCGTTGCAGTCATTGACCGGATGTATAGTGTAATTGAGAAACAGAGTTCACTGACAAATGTCAACTTTTGTACGACAGAATCGTAAATTTTAGTAGAAACCAGTTTCCCTTAATTTCTTTTCTTTTTCTTTATTATTATTAATTTTTGGTGCGCTGACGGACTAAAACTTTACCATTCAACAGCAAGCAGCATTTTAGGATTCATACATCCGACCTCATTTAGTAGAATAAGGTTTGGTGATTATTTTGGTGAGCCGACAGACGAAAACATCCACCATTCAACCGGAAGGGGTACTGGATGAATTGCGGAGCAATCAAATTATCATAAACATGCAACTATTGCTGTGAATTATAATATCCGAACGCCAAACTTCTACAATCTAAATTGAACCTCTGGTCTGAGCAATCTAAACTAGAGCATTATTGTTTGAGACCTGATATTTCCCGGATTGTTTGAAGCAACTGCAGAGTTGGCTCTGGTCTCGAAGAAGAAGAAAGGGATGCTAAAAGTTCAGCTGATATAATTTGCAACATCGAGGGTGCGGTTTGTCGAACCCATTTAATGTGTTCGATGGCAACAGGAATCTCTTCAGCGTCAGCTAAATACTTCAGCAAAGTTACATGGGAATCGGACTGTGTTACATCATGGCTGATGCCGCAGAGTAACTTAGAAGCAGCAAGAAAAAGACCTGCACAGATCAGAAACGCATTAGCAACAAGCCAAAACATTTGAAACTACCGACTCTGGCACTCCGCGCTGGACATATACTGGCGAAGCATGAAGGTACATGATGTGAAAATTGAAACATCCATTACGTATAATCATCAGTACAGAAGATACCTGTTTTGCACAAAGAATGAGTAAATGCACCCAATACAGTTTGTGCAAGCATCATATCCTGTTGAACAGACTTGTTAAAAACTTCGAAAGCGGCTTCAACCTTTTTTTCATGGCAAAGCCCTTCAAGTAGAGAAATGTAAGTCATCGTGTCCGGCTGCAACCCCTTTACCCAGCATGTGGTAAAAGAGCCTCTGAGCCTCGTCTACCTGGCCTACTTCCGAAAACTTATGTATTAGGATATTGTAAGTCTTCAAGTTTCCGTTGCACCCAGTTGCAAACATCTCGTCCCATAGCCTTTTAGCAGGTCTCAACAGATCTTCCCTACAACATGCTTCAATAAGAGAATTATAAGTCAAAATGTCCGGGCCTAATCCATTTTTCCTCATCTCCTGAAGAGCGCCATAGGCTTCTTTCACCATCCCTGCTCTGCACAAGAACGACACCATCACTATTGTAAGTCTCCAAATCTCTGAAATAGCCGCCGGATGAAAGAACTCGAAAGACTTCCAGCAAGTCATCACTTTTGTCATGCTTACACAGATTCCTACTCAAATTGCTCAAAGTCAAAAGAGTTGGGAACCTCTCTTTTCCAACCATGAATTCGAAGAAGACTAACGCCGAGCCAGGATCAATTGCCGACACTGATCCTATCAAGACATTGAGAACATCATCGTCAATCGGAAAATTCCCGCTAACAATCACTTCTCCCAACTCTTTTGCTTCACATATCCGCCTCTCTGAAATCAAATCAAATATGAACCCTCTATAATCATTAGTCCTAGGAGCTACACCTAGCTTTCTCTTCTTCTTCAAAACCTTTTCGGTACCAACTACGTCCCCAGTTAACCGAAGTGCTTCGGCGACAATCCTATACGCCATGAAATCAGGTTTGCACTCTCTACTTCTCAGCTCATCCAATACCCAAAAAGCCTCTGATACTCTAGAAGCCTGACAAAGCCCGTGAACAACCAAAAGAGCTATAACGGAGCCGTTAATCTCCGAACCACCTCTCCTAACCTCATCTAACATACTCAAAATTTTACCCAATTCAGCATTTCCACAAAGTCTCCATATAAAAACACCAAAACCAACTGTGCTCAAGGGGACAGCTTTAAGAGTCATTTCATCAAACACCTTCTGGGCATACTCAAAATATCCATCGGATGCTAGCGCAGCCAACAGCGAGTTACAAATCCAATGCCCAATGTCTCCAATTAGCGAGGAAACCTCGCTGAAGACCAAAAAAGCGTTGTGGGTTTTCTTTGCAATGATTAGTGAAGCAATTACGGAGCGATAAACCGAAGCATCGAGACTGATCTTCTGGACTTTGACTTGCTTGAGGAGGGCATCAATGGAGTTGAATTGGCGGGAAAACGAGAGAGACTTGAGGACTGATCGGTAGGTGAGGGATGTGTGGGAGAAGGACGGTTGCTGGGAAGCCCAGTTGAAGAAGCCGAGAGCGAGCGAGTGGTGATTGAGGAGGAAGGGGTCGATAACTCGGGCCACGAGTGAGGGGCTCAGTGAGTCGCGGCAACCGAGGCGGTGGAGAATGGTCTCGAGAGAAGGATCCCATGAACGAGTCGGCCTTGTGTGGTTGGAAGCGGAGATTAGAACCCGGCTTATTCGACTGGCTAGCTCCGTTGCCGACGAGGCTTTCATTGGCGGAAACAGAGCTGGCGACGATGGCGAGGCCTCATCAGCAGCGATGCTGTAAATACACTTTCAGCTCTACTAGTATTTTTCATTGGTTAATATTCAACTAAAATTACTAATTTGAGTCGAAAAAAAAGTTTAAAACCGCTTCCACATAACTTATAACAACTTTTTCAAATGGATTATCGCCGGATTATCTTTGTGAGGATCGTTGTCAAATTCTTTTTGTGTGGATTTTGAAAATCCTTCAATTACATATGTTCATCGTACATCGTGCAGTCAGTTTTTATCAACTATTATTTATATTTAATTTTAAATAAAAAATTACAATAATTTCTGACCATATGATATACGATGAACGAATGTAATTGAAGGATTCAAAGATCCTCACAAAGAGGATCCAGTGAGGATCCTTTAGCTTTCACATGCATACACGAAAACTCACATTTTCTGAACTTGTAAAAATTTAACATATAGTCTAATTTTTTTGACACTATGAAAGTACTAGAAGTTTTTCAAAATTCATACAAGACGTTTGAAAGATGTTATGACTGAGAGAAATTTGTCGTAGTTATGATGATTACTCTTTTTCAGCTTAAAAGTTCAATAAAATCTACCTATATAACAATAAATAATAAGACTGTTCAAATAACTTAAGTGTGAGTTATAAGTCTCAGTTTTTATTGGTTTTGCAAAATAACATCATAAAACCTATTTCACGATGTTTTTGCCTCACTACGGCCCTCAAGCATATTAAAAGTTTGGACCTTGGAAATCAATAGCTACAACAACAAAATCTTATCCCACTCAATAGGATCGGCTGTTTGAATCTTAAAACGCCACTCCGCTTAGTGTTTTGCCATGTATCTTTGAAATCAACAGGATAAGTAAAAATGTTAGAAGGTAAACCAAGATGAAGTCGACAACGTCAATGCTACGGAAACCATCCATCACAAAGTTAAAAACGCATCTAATCTATCATCTTAGGCAGACATTGAGAGGAAAAAGAGAGCAATTTAATCTATAATATTTACATTATTTCCTCATTGAGCTATGTATGAATGTATGTATCTGTACAATCTTCTATCTTTTTACAACCTCTGTAGTCTGTACACCACACTATACAGTTACAATATATATCTTTACAAATGTACAAAATATACAAACCCAACCACTGTCTTGACAGTATCCAGAGTGGTTTCTGGGTTTCTTCTTCCTATATGCAGCTTAAGACGTCTGGTAATTTTGTTCTTTTACAGTGTTTACTTTCCAGAACATTGAGAAACTAAGAGTAGGATCGAACCAACTTAAGGCTCTGGAAACTTCGAGCTTTGAATAAGTTTCCGAAGAGATATCCCATTGTTGTCCCTTGAGGAGGCTTTGGTGGAGGGCTTGAGTTACACTTCACCTGCAGTATGGTCTGCCCAATCTGTCTGCGAACTGAATCGATAATCTTAGGGTCTACTGGGCTTCCTGTAACGTCCGTGACATAGAATGTGTCTATTGCTTTTCCACTTTTAGTTGAAATTTCTGCTCGTGTGACACGCAAACTGTTCTCTCTGAATATCCGCGTGATATCTGAGAGAAGTCCAACCCGGTCATCTGTGCACAGTTGTAGTTCCAGGCCCTGCATGGTAAAGCAACATGTGTTGGTAACTTTGTGGACATGAAAACTGAACATGAGGGTTCTCGTCAGGTAAAAGTTCACCGCACCTCAGATGCCCGCCTTTCAATGGCTGCTTCAAGGCACTGTACAACACGTTCTCGCTCAGCTTCTGAGTTGATAGGAAGCCCATCAACATGTCGAATGTAAAATTCCTAAAAAGAAAACTACCTCGTGTGTTAGAATGAAGAAATGAGATCCACAACCCAAAGAGCAAAAATTGCAAATGAATGTCTGCCATTTGATGATTATGTCAGATCCAGCCGAGCTTTGCTGGCTTTGCAAACCAGAACCATTACATCAGACCAATTTCAACAGGAATTTATCTTACCTGATAAGCTTCTGTCCTCCCGGTATTGACCATTCCGTGAAAAACCACATACTGCATGTCTGTTAAAGTGCAGATGATGTCAAATAACAACTTTGGTCGATCTTTTGACCTCATGGTAATGATAGTGTAATCCTTCTGGCTGCAATCCAACGCAGGTTACATGGGGTTTTGAGCCCTTATCCTCAACTCTCCGTAGTTCTGCTCTTTCAACCCTTTCATAATCCCTGTCAGCAAACATAATCTGATGTAACCTTCTATCTCTGTTTGTAACTCCAGGGGTTGCAAGTGTCATTTTAGCAGCCTTCAACTCACTGTTTACTTTGAGGACATTGCAAAGCAACTCCTTAATTGTAGCAAGACGGATTGGATCTTCAATTGCGCAGCCAGTGGAATCATCTGTGACATGAACTACAGCTGCAGCTCTAGCGTTGTGTGTCCATATCTCAGCATTTACCACATTACAGTGAAGGTCTGCAAGAACTGCACACACTTCAGACAATAAGCCAGGCCTGTCGGTACCACTGAGCTCAATGGAGGTGTACTCTTCTGAGGGCATCATGCCGACGGAATCTCTCATAGAGGGTACAAAGCCACCATTGCTTTCAAGTCTCTGCAAAATAAAAAAGTAAACTGAAAAATGACGACCTTTTCCCATAGGTCTATATATCTTGGTCCAGGAGAAGATCATAGGCAATGCAGAAAGGTAGGCGTCGGATGCAACAACGTATCTCTTTTAGTTTTGAAACAGCTTTCCTTAAACAAAACTGAAATTATAGCATAAATTAGATGCCAGATGAAATCATGTTTTTCTAAACGACGATTTGTCATATAACATTAAACGATTTACTTTGTCTCTTCCCATCAGAAATCTAGGAAAACGACCTTAAATGCAGAACTTAATTGCTTTATCATCATCTTCAGAAAAAGAACATAAAGACATGAAGGTTTGTTTGCTACTCTTCTCCCCTGACTTCTTAACAGCCAGAGGAACTGCAATAGGATCGAATCCTTACCATTTGAATATAATTGATAATGTCCTTGTCTCTGATTTTTTTCCCGTCACAGGTCAATCACATTAAACACTGAAAAACAGAAAATTCAGAAAGAACAGACTTGGTAAACTAGAAGAAGAGAAACAAAATACAGAAAAATGAAAGCTTGAGCCTTGACATGGGAAGTTGAATAAAAAACCTTACCATCCATGAACCATACACCATCAGATGAGATATAAGCTTTGGTTATTACAAGGTTCACGTCAGCGAGCACTTGGACAACATCCAGCAGAATTCCATGTTTGTTGACACTGTCAACCTAATCAAAATTTGAAAGGAAAAAAAATAGTGTTCAATTGGATATTCAAATCTTCAACCGAATTCTTCGCACCAACATACATGAACGAAATCAACAAATACATCTCATAAGAAAACATAAAAAGTACTGGTCAGAAGGTACAAGCAGCCTCACCTGGATAACGGTGGCATCCTCGCAAGAATCGTTATCGATCACAACTCTGCAAGAACAACGGGCAGATCAGATGAAGCTTCTTGCTTTCTTTACATACTTCAAAGAAGAGGACAATCAAATCAAGAACAACGGGCAAATCAGATGAAGCTTCTTGCTTTTTCATACACACTTCAAAGAAGAGGACAATCAAATGTTCAAAGAAGAGGACAATCAAATGGGCCAAACCAAGTAGTTTCCTGAAGGGGGGGTCCAAAAAAAAAAAAAAAAAAAAATCATATGCCCATATAGGCTCCAAAATTAAACCCTTGGCCTTTTTAGCATACAGGAAACGATTTTCGCACACTCATTTTCTCCTTCTACACACCCTATTGAAGTGTTTATTTCTGTCCCTTAATTCTCTTTTGAATAATTCAATCCAAAAACCATAAACAAACCAATTGTGCAGAGGAGAAAATGTGTGTACGGAAATCACTTCGCGTACAATTCATGGAGAGGGAACAGATGGAAGGAAAAGTCAGCTGCCCATAAGTCCTCTATGTAAAACTAAAATTCAATCAGAAAACGAAAATTAAAAGAATACATCTTTACTTTCTGAATCAAAGAAGAAGAAGAAGAAGACTCAACAGGAAAGGGAGGGAATAATTGTTACCCAAGTTTTACTGAAACAAGTAAAAGTTCTGCTTTTTCATCAACCAAACGGTACAAAAATCAAAACTTGAGAGAACAAAGAGCACATAAATTATATCAGAATCATAATTAGAGAAAACAAAATAATTCAACGGACCCTTCATCTTAAAAACGAAAACAAACAAAACCCAGAAACCAAAAAAGCATAACAATTTACCAGAAAACAGAAAATCCCAGAAATATTAGGGGAAAATACCTCGGTGGGTTCATCCTCCTGACGAACTTGGCGTACTCATCGTCCATTTTTCTTTCTTCTCTTCCAAATCTACCGGAGATTTCCGAGCAACCCAAGACCTCAAAAACAGACCGAATTTAGAAAAACACCGACAATCTTACACTTGAGAGTACATGATTTTAAGAAATATACTATATACAACGATGCCTCCTCCAATAATCATGGAAATATCCACCCCGCTGAGAGAGTGTGTTTTAAACAAAACGAACGAAACGAAAGGTGCTAAGCGGGGCAGCGGGCAGGACGGGCACGTGGGCCGTGGGGTCCGAAAAGTCCGTTCGAAGGAAAAGAGAGTACATCGTCAGCTGTATTTTCGTGACGTGTCGAATTGTGATTGGCTTGGCCAGCGGTTCGTCGCAGCCCGCTGTCCATTGGCTTGTGACGCTCTTTCGAGAGGACTCGTGATTTTTCAACAATTTCTGATATTTTAGGCATGGCATGGGCGTCCGTACAATTAGCCAGGAGGGATTCCAATGCCACGTGACTTTTTGGCGGTGAGTTGACACAAGGAACGAGTTCGTTACAGTTTGGTCGCATATTTGCCGGTATTTCTGGCGGCAATTCCAGCGTGAGTGACTGGTTTCCTGCCCACGGAAATCATATGCCCGTTTGCCCAGTTGAGTAAGAAAAAGAAATTATTAAGTGCTATTGAATATTGATGCAAACCGAAGAAAAAGACTATTGATGTAAAATCAAGAAAATATTATTGATGCATGTGCACCTAACTTTAGTATCTGGAA